CTCACTTCCTTTTTAGATAAGTAATATCCCATTGTATGGCTACAGCACAATTTGTTTGTCCATTTATGTGCTGGTGAACATTTGGATTGTTTCAAGATTTTGGTTCTTATTAATATAGCTGCTATGAAAATTCCTGTACAAGTCTTTCAGCATACATATGTTTTGCCTTCTCTTGGGTACCTGGAATTGCTGGGGCAAGGGTAGTGTGTATTTCACTTTTTAAGAAAGTCTCTTTTCCCTCTAGGTCTAACTCACAAATAGGATGGCCACAGTAAGTTCTAGGCATGTGATAGGAATTGCTGTGTCATGTTACAGGATGAGTAGGAGGGATGCCTGTCTCTGTCCTTTGTTAGGAAGAGGCTACACATGCTAGAATGGAGGACAGCCTCACTAAAGTGGAGGCACATATATCATAGCAGTGAAATTCCTCCCAGGTCTTTTCTTTTTTTTTTTTCTTTTTGTCTCTTCAGAGGCGTCTTCTGGTTTTCCACTGGGAGTAAAACACCTGTAGCACTTTCTCCATGGGGATGAAGGAAGGAGGAGACAGGCTACGGAGAGCCTGTTGATACCATCATTTGGTAGGCAGATATCCAATTAATCTCCTGCTTCCCTTCCTCACTCCTCCTTCCACATTACTGTCTGACTGAGTCTAAAGCCCCTGCAACTCCCTTCCCTTTGGTCATACCGGTCTGTAGCTTCTGGGCTGCTGCTTCCTCCCTCTGGTTACCTATCTTCTAGAAATTTGTTGAACTCAAATTTGCTGATAGTCCTTCTCCCATTCTTTTCATTTTGCTAAGTGTGTTTATTTTTATTGGGGTCTTGGTAGAAAAAAGAAAAATGTTTATCTTTGGTCTGCAGTCCTCACCTGGAAACTGGTGGATCTGATTCAGTGCAGCAATCTAGCACCAGATCCTACCCCTGAAACTTCTCCAGCCACGCTCAACAATGCCCACTGCCACTTAAACCAAGGCACGCCTTTATGTTTTCACTTACACTCTGTCACATCTGAGACTGCATGACCTCTCTCCTGCCTGAAATGCTCACATGATTTTCACAACACGGCTCTCTCTCGGTTTTCTCCTGCCTTCTGGCCACTTCTTTCAGCCCCGTTTCTATACTTCTTGTTCTCTGCTCTTCACCTTCTCTCACTCTACACATTCTCCCTAGTTCTTGTGACCCAACATACTCTTGTAAGCGCCACACTTGCAGTGTCAGACAGCTCCTGTCCTGACAAACCTGCCTTAAGCTACAAGACTCAGACAGATACCCTAAGTGTCCCCACAGTACAAGAGAGCCTACTGTAGAATTTCTCACACTGCACCATATGGCCTGCTCACGGATCTGCTTCCTCCTCCAGCCTTATGCTTCCTGAGAGCCCAGAACTGTGAGTTTCTCATCCCCAGCAACTCTCCTAGCATACAGCTGGTGCTCAATAAATATTTGCTGGATTGAATTGAGATCATGGATATGAAAAGGTGCTTTGTGTTTTATACATGTTATTACTGGTAATCAGAGTAAAAACTTTTTACTTTGAAGAAAAAAACATGCCAGGTAAAGATAAACCTCAAGCTAATTAAAGAAAATCTAAAATTCTTAGTGCAATACAAATGAATGCCTGTTCATAAACTAATGATGCACATCTTCCTATGAAAATTGCATCTTCTTCATTCCTTGGCACCTCTTTAGAGTCAAACCAATTTAGACGTCTCTGATCAAAACAGTCTCACACCCAAGTTCACAGCAGCATTATTTACAATAACCAAAGGTGGAAAGAACTCTAGTATCCATTGACAGATGAACAGGTGAACAATATGGCATATGCATATACACATACAATGAAATAGCATTCGGCCTTTAAAAGGAAAGAAATTCTGACACATGCTACAATATAAATGAACTTTAATGATATTACACCAAGTGAAATAAGTCAGTTGCAAGAAAGACAAATACTGTATGAAGTCATTTACATGAGGTACCCAGAGTCATCAAATTCATAGAAAGAAAGGTAGAATGGTGGTCGCCAGGGGCTGATGAGAGGGAGAATGGGATGTGACTGATTAATGCATTCAGAGTTTGCTTTTCAAGATGGAAAGAGTTCTGGAGACAGACGGTGTGTGGTAATAGTTGCACAACCATGTGAATGCATACTTAATACCATTGAACTGTACACTGAAAAGCTGTTATGATGGTAAATTTCATTATGCGTAGTTTACCACAGTTAAAAATAAAAGAAAAAGTCTCATACACAAAATACTGTATTTTACCAGAATATTTTTGAAGCAAAATTCTGACCTATGTCTAAAATGAAAATAATCAAATGGTAGAGTAAAGAGAGGTATGCCAAATGTAAGAAGCACTGTAAAGGATAAAAAAGCAGAATTACAGAATGACAACAATAACAATTGCTGACATTCACTGAAGTTTACTAGATGCCAGGCACTACGCTAAATACTTAAATGCTTTATATAAATTAATTCATTCAAAATGGCTACAAGAGAAATGGGGGGCTTAGAGAGATTAAGTCACTTAGCAAAGGTTTCACAGCTCAAAAGTGGCAGAAATGAGATTCAAACCCAGGCACTCTGGTCTAAAGCCCATGCTCTGGCCACTATCTGCCTGGGCACTTTGGGATGAGAGGGCTGGGGAGGGGAGCAGAAGGGGATCTCTAAACTTTCCCTAACTTTCAAGTTTAAGAGACAAATGAAAACAAAATCAATTATCTATGGAGTACCTTTTACATGCCAAGCACGTATGGCATGTAAGAGATTCGAATCCAATCCTGGATCCCAGGGAATCCACAGTCTATTGGGAGAGGCAGATATGTATATAAATAACCAGGCAGTACATGCCAGGAGCTGCCTAAGAGGTATCAACAGAGGGAAGAGGATGTTTAACACATGGTGTCTCCCGCAAACCCATACAATTCTTGGCAACACAAAGTGATGGATGAATATTGACTAAATGAAATAAAATCAGTATACAAAAATGTATTCTGTCTCAGAATGCATTTGGAGAAGAAAAGACAAAAGAATCAATTTTGCTTTCTTCCTCTCAAAGAAAAGAAATTTAACAGATTATGGCAATCATTGAAATTTAAATCACAATAAAAAGGAAACTAACTTTTTGTTCAGATTACACTTTATTTTTAATTAACTAATTAATTTTTTTTTTTTGAGATGGATCTTACTCTGTGGCCCAGGCTGGAGTGCAGTGGCCCAGTCATGGCTCACCGTAGCCCTGACCTCCCAGGCTCAAGCACTTTTTCTGCCTTAGCCTCCTGAGTAGCTGAGACTACAGGCATGGGCCACTGCACCTGGGTCATTTTTTTTTTTTTTTTTTTTTGCTTTTTGTAGAAACACGGTCTCACTATGTTTTCCCAAGCTGGTCTCAAACTCCTGGGCTCAAGCAATCCTCCCACCTCGGCCTCCCAAAGTGCTGGGATTACAAGTGTGGGCCACTGTCCCTGGCCTTTATACTTTATACTATTTACACTTTAAATAGTTATCACATATTAAAAGGTTACCATATTAAAGATTCTAGGAGACAGATAATGATCACATGAAATTTAAACTACCATATAAAATTCATACTGCAACTAGAACAGCCTCATTTTTCTAAACAGAGATGAGAGATTAAGGAGACACACAAGGACACTGGAATGATCAGCTTTGAAACCATGGATTCAAGCAGTTTATCTTGCATCTTCTGTTGCCCTTTAGTTCTCTCTAGACTTAACATCTATCATCCTCCCCACAGCACTCCATGTAAACATTTGCTGATGTGCTAATGCCAAGAATTGGAGAGACGTCTCATTTCCAGAGGCTTAAAATAATGGCTACTTGCTGCACTTACCTCAAAATCATATTGGCACCTTCTATACTAAGATACTAAGTTTTAATTTTTTTCACTACATTATTAAGAACTTCTACGTTAGTGTAGTCATGCGCCACATAACGATGTTTTAGTCAACAATGGCCTGCATGTACACAGTGTTCCCATAAGATTATAACAGACCTCATGATAGCGCGGTGTCTTTGCAGCACAAAGCATTACTCTTACTTGTTTGTGGTGATGCCAGTGTAAACAAACCTACTACACTGCCAGTCCTATAAAAGTCTAGCACATACAATTATGTACAGCACATAATATCTGATAATGACAATAAACAACTGTTACTAGTATCTACATTTACTATACCATATTTTTCATGGCTTTTTAGACTGTACTCCTTTTCCATATATATATATATAAATTTAACTGTAAAAGAGCCTCAGGCAGGTCCTTCAGGAGGTATTCTAGAAAGCACTGTTATCAGAGATGACAGTTCCATGCATGTTATTGCCTGTGAACACCTTCCAGTGGGACAAGATGTAGAGATAAAAATCCTGACCCTGTGTAGGTGTAGGTGAATGTGTGTGTGTATCTTAGTTTTTAACAAAAAAGTTTAAAAAGTAAAAACAAAAAGTAATTTTAAAATATTAAATTAAAATATTAATGTTAAAATAGAAAAGAGCTTAGAGAATGAGGATATAAAGAAAGAAAAGGTTTTTGTATAGCTATATAATGTGTTTGTGTGTTTAAGCTAAGTGTTATTATAAAGTCAAAAAGTTAAAAACCTTATAAAGTAAAAAAGGTTACGGTAATAACTCACTGACTCACCCAGAACAACTTCCAGTCCTGCAAGCTCCATTCATGGTAAGTGTCCTAGATAGGTGTACCAGTAAAAAATCCTCTACATTGCATTTTTTACTATACCTTTTCTATGTGTAGACACATAAATACTTACCGTTGGGTTACAATTGCCTACAGTATTCAGTATAATAACATGCTGTACAGGTTTATAGTCTAGGAGCAATAGGCTATACCATATCTTAGGTGTGGAGCAGGCTACACCATCTAGGTTTGTGTGAATATACTCTGTGATGTTTGCACAGAGAAGAAATTGCATTTCTCAGAACTCATCCCTGTTGTTAAGCAATGCATGACCATATATACTATACCTTGTCCCAATATCAAGCCAGCTGCCATAATCCTTGACCAAGAAGAAAAAATGCTGTAAGAAAAAAAAAGGCTCAATTAAAAACAAACCTATTTAGATTCAGTCTAAAAACAAAGTTATTTTAGGACTGTATGTTTCAGATTTCTGACTCTAACAATCACTAGCTGACTGTAGTCAACAAGAATATGTCATTTACTGAAACTTTTGCTTGTATTAGAATTAGTAGTAGTCTAAAATCCAGAAATAGAATTATCAATCAAATGAACACAAAAGTGACATTTCTGAATAACTAGAAATAAAGAAGCAGCCAACATCAATTAAAAAAAAAAACTAGATAATACTAAAGATGTCAGTGGAAAGATGTCATGTCATCCATCTATCAACAAATATTTACTGTACTGACTACCTACTGTGTGCCAATCACTGTCTTAGGTGCTGGAGATAAACTCCTCCTCACAGGGCATAGGCTCTACTAAATAATTCAGTCAAATTATCGGGGGTGTGGGTGGGTGTGTGTGTGTGTGTGTGTGTGTGTGTGAGCAGGGGACAGAGGGAGTGCTATCATTGGAAAATATAGGCAATTATAGAAACAGAGGAAGGGGTTCATACCCTGATTAGGATGGAAGGGAAGGCTTCCCAATGGAAGGTGAAATCTAAGTAAAAAGTAGGAGTCAGATGAAAGGAGGTTTGGAGAGAAAGAGGTTTCTGGCAGAGGGAATAGCCTATATACACATCAAGAGTCCATAGAGAGCTTGGTGTCAAAGTGAGGATGGTGTAGAGAAAACAAGGATGGAGAGGTAAGAGAAGATGCCAATCATGTGGGCAGAAGCTATATCACAAATGACTGTTCAAGTTAATTTAGGCAAACTTTTTTATATAAAATTAATCAGAATTTCAACCCTCTTCTATTAACATGTCTGTTTGTCACTTTGCACAAAACTGAAAACTGATTTGTTCTCACATAATGTGTGGTCAGTTTCAGAAATACAATGAATAACAGTTCAATACCACACAAAAATACTCTCATCTAAACCGAGTGACTAGGAATCTGATTTGGGAAGCTACCCTTATTGGTATTCCTTGTTACTTCTGGCATGGGATGTTATACGGTGATGAATTAACCTTACCCAAAAAGACTGCTGGTGTTTGTTCTCAGCTACTGGGTGGTGATTTCTAGGCCCTTGGAATGTCATGGAATGTCATGCCTTATAGAAGGTTCTGCCTGAGGTCTTGGCCACCGGACAGTCTAACAATGTGATGTATGATGAGGGCTTTTGGCCATATTACCAGCTGTATCCCCAGAAGGGATTAAAGGTCAGCCACATAGGCAGTATGTGATCAAACCCCACTAAAAAGTCTGGACAACAAAGCTTAGGTAAGCCTGGCTGGCAATACTCCATGTGTACTGTCACGCATCAATAGCGGGAGGCTAATGCTGTCCTGATTCCACAGGGAGAAACAGAAACTCAGAATCTGGTATCCTGGACTCTGCCCTATGGCCTGGAATAAACTGTAACTGAATATAACAGCATTCAGTGAGTTCTGTGAATTCTAGTGAATTACTAAAGCTGAGGGTGGTCTTGGGAACTCCCCAGACTTGTAGACATAAAATAGGTTCCTCTTTTTGTTAATAACAGAGGCCTACCTACCTGCATCAGAACTTATTTATTGCAGCCACATCTTGATTAACACCTTCCCAATAGAAAAGCTGCATTTCCTTTTTCCTTCCTTCCTTCCCTCCCCATTTTTCTTTCATTTTTAATCTGAGAGAAGGGTTAAAAATCAACATTTCTATAGAAAAATGATGTATTATCTAAATTTAAAGTTAGCTTTTTCTGTTAATTTCCTTTGGAAGGTTCATTTCAGATACAAAGCAACATGGAAGACAAGGTATGACAGATTCGAATAAATCAAGTAGTAAGACTTTTGACACCTGAAGAAGAGCACACATCCTGTATAATAACTAATATAAAACAACATAATTTATATGTGTAAATTATTCCAGCACTTACAACTCAGTATCTAAAGATTTCATGTACCGAAATGCATTCATATTTCTCTTTATTAAATTAACCCAGGACTCTTAATCTAATTTATATGGACTACCCAGTAATGCCTTACCAAAGCCATAATGTCTGATATGACGAGAACAATGAGAAAAAGGCTGGAAAAAAAAAGAAGGAAAAATTACATATAGTACAACAGGTGTATTTTTCAAGCTCATTAAAATCCAAGTGAGACTAGGCAAATAACCTAATATTGTTGGTACTTTTGCTTTTGAAGATACAACTTTCAAAGGTTCTTTTCATATTATCACAGGTGACCACCCCATAGAGATGAGCTGGACTGTAAAATGTGTTATTAAGTGCTCTGAATATTTATTTCAGTAAAATGAAAGGGACATACATTATGATTTTCAAAACTAAACTTTTGAGATAATTGTTAACTAATATGCAATTTCAAGAAATAATACAGAGGGATCCTCTGTACCCTTTACCCAGTTTCCCCCAGTGGGAAGATCTTGTAAAACCATGGTATAATATCCCAAGCAGGACATTGACACTGATACTGTCCAGATAAGGAATGTTCCCATCATCACAAAGATCTCTCATGATGCCCTTTTAGAGCCACATGTGTCCTCCCCTCACCATCCCTCTGCCTAATCCCTCACTCCTGAGAGCCACTAATCTGTTCTCCATTTCTATAATTTTGTCATTTTAAGAGTGTTTTATGAGTAGAATAACGTACATAACAAGTTAAACAATTTATATAACACTCTCTTACCTTTTGTAACCTTCGGGGATTGGCTTTTCCCACTCAGCATAATTTTCTCAAGAATCATCCAAGGTGCTGTGTGTATCAATGGGTCATTTACTTTTATGGCTGAATAGTACTCCATCATATGGATATACAATGGTTTACTTAACCATTCAAGCACCAAAGGACATCAAGGCTTATTTCTACTTGTGGCTATTGTTACAGTTTGCGGCTCTTACAAATAAAGCTGTTATAAACATTTGTGTTTAATTTTTTGTGTAAACCTTTCATTTTTCTAGGAAAATACATCAAGAGTGCAATTGCTAGGTTATACAACAGTAGTATGTTTAGTTTCATAAGAAACTGTAAAACTCTTTTCAGAGCGGTTTGTACCATGTTACATTTCCACTAGCAATGCATGAGAGCAATTTCCTTACATCCTCAACAGCATTTGGTGATGCCACTATTTGTTTTTAAGTGTTCTGATAAACTGTTCTGATATGTGTATAATGATATTTCATTTTTTTTTAAATTCTTTTTTGAGATGGAGTCTTGCTCTGTTGCCCAGGCTGGAGTGTAGTGGTGTAATCTCGGCTCACTGCAACCTCCGCCTCCCGGGTTCAAGCGATTTTCCTGCCTCAGGCTCCCGAGTACCTGGGACTATAGGCACACGCCACCACGCCCGGATAATTTTTGTATTTTTAGTAGAGATGGGGTTACACCATATTGGTCAGGCTGGTCTCGTACTCCTGACCTCGTATCCGCCCGCCTCGGCCTCCTAAAGTGCTGGGATTACAGGCGTGAGCCACCACGCCCGACCCACTGTGGTTTTTATATGCATTCCTTTAATGGCTAATCATGCTGAACAACTTTTCATTGGCTTATTTGCCATCTGTATATCTTCTTCAGGTGTTTTGCTCACTTTCTAATTAAATTTTTTTTACTGTTTAGTTTTGTGCATTCTTTATATATTCTAGATACTAGTCTTTTTTCAGATACCTGGTTTGTAAATATTTTCTCCCAGTATGTAACCTATGTTCTCACACTCTTAGCAGGGTCTTTCACAGAGCAAAAACTTATAATTCTGAAGAAGTCCAGTTTATCACTTTTTCCTTTTATGGGTTACAATTTTGATGTCAAGCCTAACTCTTTGCCTAACCCAAATCCCAAGGATTTGCTCTATTTTTTTCCTAGAAGTTTAAATCTGTGGTCCACTTTGAGTTAATTTTTGAATAAAGTGTGAGGTTTTGGTAGAGATTTGTGACTTGTTTTTAAGAAATAATTGTTTTTCTAACCATTGGTTTGAAATAAAGACATGTAACTCAATAGTTCACATATGCAGATATATACCACAAGTCAGACCGATGATATCTTACTGAAGTATAATTTCATTCAGACACATAATAAAGTGTGTTAATCTGATTAAGAGTTTGTAGAGAATGCAATGGTCATCCAGTACAACCTTCTACTTAAAGCATGAATTCCCAAAGTATCAATCCCAATAAAGGCATTGTCTAGCACTAGTTTTAGTGGTTGCAGCAACAGAATCCACTCCATTTTCACAGCTCCAATTACTGCAGAGTTCTTTCTTCTGTGATTCAAAGCACAACAATAATTCTACCCTATGGACCCAGTTCTTCTGGAATAGAAAAATAATAAATACAATTCAAAAGACCTTTAGAATAAGTGTGGTGGCTCACGCCTGTAATCCCAGCACTTTGGGAGGCTGAGGTGGGAGGATCGCTTGAGGCCAGGAGTTCAAGACCAGTCTGGCCAACATGGTGAAACCCCGGCTCTACTAAAAATAGAAAAACTAGCCAGGCATGGTGGCACATGCCTGTAAGCCTAGCTACTACAGAGGTTGAGGCACGAGAATCGACTGAATCTGGGAGGTGGAGGTTGCAATGAGGTCACACCACTGCATTCCAGCCTGGGTGACACAGTGAGACTCTGCCTCAAAATAAAACCCCAAGAAAACAAAACAAACAAACAAATGAACAAAAAGACCTTTAAAAAACCTTTACATACCTTTTTCAAAAAGTTTTGAGTTTTTAGAAATATTATTTTTATTTTTCTAAAGAAAATTATATTACTGTGTGACACAGATGATGTTCTGGGATACTTGTGAAATTAAGACACATCTGATTAAGTTATTTATTGTCTTCTCAGCCTCAGTTTCCTTATCTATAAAATGGTCGTAATAATATCTATATTTCCTAGTATCATTGGAAAAATTAAGTCAGGTAATATGTGGAAAGTACCTAATACAGTGCCTGACATATGGTATTTGCCTAGTAAATATTGGTTTCATTCTCATTCCTTAAACAAAAGCTTTAAATGAAATTAAAGATATAATCTCTCCCCTTACGGAGTTCACAAGGTGTGTATTAGCTAGAGTTGCCATAACAAAGTACCACAAATTGAGTGGCTTAAACAACATACATTTCCTCATAGTTCTGGAGGCTGGAAGTCCACGATCAGTGTGTGAGCAGGGTCGGTTTTATTTGAGGTCTCTTTCCTTAGCTTGTAAATGGCCATATTCTCCCTTAGGTTCACATGTCATCTCTTCTGTGTTTGACTGTGTCTTAATCTTTTCCTCTTATAAAGACATCAGTCATATTGGACTAGGACCCACTCATATCACCTCATTTTACCCTAGTTACCTATTGAAAGGCCCTGTCTCCAAATTCAGTCATATTCTGAGGTACTTGGGGGTCAGGACTTCAACATAAGAATTTTAGGGGACACAAATCAGCCTCTAACTGGGTGTGAAACACAAAAGTAAGAAACAATTTTATCAGCCACAGTCTGAGTTACCTAACTTAGCCAGAAATTTGAGGGTGGAAGGATTCTGGAGAGTGGAGCAGTTGGGTAAAAAAAGTTTAACAGAGAATAAGATCCCTGAACTAAGTCTTAATTAAAAAGAAGGAAAAAGATTTTCCAGAGCCAATCTTCATATTCTTGAACCATTTTGTGGAAACTGAAGAACCCAGAAGTAAGCCTGCTCAGGGTCACACAGCTAGTAATGGTAAGTCATAGACTTATAAAGCAAGTCTGGCCCCAGAGCCCGTGCTCCAAACCATTACGCACACTGCCTCCCCATGGCTCCACTGACTCTCAGAGGCCTTCAGCATCTTCATCACGTTCCTGTGAATGTGTCCCCGGTTCCCTTGTTTATTCATATGCTGCCCAAATGCAAAGGCATAAATATAACACACTATTCAATATTCAAGGTGATCTAATTTTAAGAAGGATAGGGTTATCATTCCCTTGCTGTGAATACAATAATTTTATTAAAGGCAGGTTAGTTATATGGTATTATTTGATCTCCAAGATGTTTTGAAGCTACTGTGTACCTAGATCCTATGAGTTTCCTCATAAATACATTTTTATTCAAGAAATAAATACCTGCTATTGAGTTTTTATCCAATTGATAATAAATATTACTTATCATCCCCATCGAGCCACTGTGATTGTTCACTTGCAAGACCCTTAACTGATCTCCCTGCTCTTATTCTTGTCCTCCTAAAGTTATTATCCATGCAACAGACAGAACAGCCTTCAAAACCTACCAAAGGCTTCTTGCCACAACTGAATAATACTGAAGTCCTATCTGTGGCCTAAGTGGCCCCTTATGTTCTGCCCCTGCCAACCTCTTCAACTTTATTTCCTACAATTCTCCTGCCAGCGCAGTCTGCTTAAGGCTACCTTTCTTGCTGTTCTCCAAATACACCAAGCATGTCTTCAACTCATGCCCTTTGTACGTTTCACTCCTTCCACCTGAGTGAACCATGAAACTATGTGAGTAAAGACTATGTTCAGGTTTTTGCATAAATTGCTTCTCCTTAGAGAGGTCTCCCTGGACCACTTCATTTTTTCCCCTGACATTTAACACTACTTAAAATTTTGTTATGACAAGCATTTTATTTTCTTTGTCTCCCCAGGTAGACAGTAAGCTCTGTTCACCAAATGTAACACCAGCGGCTAGTACAGTGCCCGGTATATTATACAAACTCAAATCCTATGTGCTGAATGAACAGTAGGAGTAATTAGCATAAACTAAAACTGAAAATGGCTAATGCTACACATTGTGAAATTTGCTTTAGATTTAAGACTGACTTAAGAACCTTTTCCTTTTGATTTCATAAAACACAAAAAATCTGATCCACGAAAAATTAGACCTGGTAGAAACAACACCAAATAACATTGTAGAAGGCTAAAACCACACAGAATAAAATCTGTAACTAACAAAATAATGATGGAAGAAGCAAATCTTAACAATAATCAGATCTGTAATATCTAATCTAGGTGAATGAGACCTGGTAGATATGATAACTATAGAAGGAAAAAAAAAAAAACACTGGGAGGAGCTGAAATCCAGAGACTTTAAAATAAACAAAAACAACCCAAAATTTTTCTGAAAATTAATAAAAATAATTTTAATAAATTAAAAATCAAAATAGAAATACTTAAAAGTAATTTACTTCTACTTCATATTGATTTAAAAATTAAGCTGATTTAATAGAGTGCCCATAGGAAAACACTTTCCCAATAAAAGTTATTCAATATTATAATAATTCTGATTCAAATCTAGATTCCTAAATATGCGAGCATAACATTTTGGAGATAAAAACACCCATTAGAACAAAATGATATATTCAAAATTGGAGTAAAATTATTTTCACTTCAATTAATACAGGGCATGAGAAAACTAGCTTTTTGGCTGCTAGATCACATTGTTGACAACTGCTATTTCCAAGTTGTTTTTTTTTCCCCCAATTCCTGCCGGGTAGCCATGGCTCTTGTAGAGTTGAGTATTTAATCAAACACAGAACTGAAAAACCATCCCTTTCAGATCTTATATGGTTGGTTGTTGAATACTTCTGTAATACTAAAACTTGTTTCTCTTTCTCAGCGGACTTCTAATTTCTCTCATGCTTTGCTGCATTCTGAAGGTGACAAAGGTCTTCATGGTCCATGTCATCTCAAACTGTGAAATGAACTGGCCACAACTGTGACACTTTTGGCAGGTTGTTTCACACCCCCACACCTCCCTTTTCCCTGACCCCCTTCCAGTTTACAATGAATGTGTGCCAGACAGAGTTCTGGCCATAGAGACACAGTCAGAAGTCTGCTACATGGGGCCTTTGGGAAAGACACTGCTACCCTGACAGAAAAGGAGAATCAGCTGACCTATCTCCTTGCCTTTTTCCTCATTAGTCCTTTTCCCTTGTTCCTGTCTGGATGGCAGATGAGATATGATGGCAGATGGAGGCATGATGAGAAAAACACGAGGGTAAAAGCAACAATCTAAGAATCTTCCATTCTTAGGAATACAGAAAAGCAGGGTTGCTGATGGCATCACAGAGTTGTGGGCTGCCAACCTCCAGACTCCATGTGACATGAGGACATAAATCTCTATTTCTCTTAGCTACTGTTAGATTTTCATTGCTTACATCCATAAGCATTCTTAATGGATAAGCTATCAGGTAATCTTCATGCACAGCTACTACCTTTTTGTGGTCTCTACCCAAAATTTACAAGGTTTTGTTGATGAACCCAATTATTAAGACTGAGACACTAGATAAATTATTAATAATTAGAAAAGTAAATTTTAAAGTCATGCAAAAAAATGTTAATCCAACTTTTCTACTTCACTTTTGTTCCATACACATTTTAAGGAGTGAGTCGGAAGAGAAGAAGAATCATTTCACTGGTTTGTTATATTGAACTCGTCCTTGGCATTATAGATATAATAAATAAATAAGTCATTAGTATATATCTCCACCCCCATCTTAACCGTAGGCTTCCAACAGTTGTAAGAAAATGATTAGCAACATAAATAAAAAGCCTGTAAAAAGGTCACAGAAAGGAGAGATGTTATCAGTGATTATTTGGTAAGTGCTACGGCAGTGAGGGTGGCTGGACTTCGGCTTGTGTGATGGATCAAATAAAGAAAACAGGATGAGAAGCTAATTTTCAATAGGAAGAAAAGGCATCGCTGGAATCAATGTGTGACATTAAATTTGATGAGTCAGTGTGATATCCAGGAAGAAATGTCAGTGACTTCTGAGTTTAAAGGTCAAAAGAGACCTTTCTGAGCCACCTTTGCCTCAGTTCTCTCCTGCTGTGTTTTGTTTTTCATTGTACTAGTTTCTAGATAGCATTACTATACACACGTACAAATATAAGAATACATACACACATACACTTTGGTGTGCCTTCCATTTCTTATTCCACATGTCCCCAGCTCTTCTTATTTAAACCTTAATTAAAATCCCTTCTAAAAATCTTATCCACCAACAAAGATGCAGGAAAGTACATGTCATTCACCAGTTTTTATTGCATCTAAGTAAATATCTCTTATGTGATATTGACAAGGCATAAATACTCTCAATATTAAATTCATGTAAATATCCTGCAAAAATATACTAAAACTAGAAATGAGATTTCTAGTATTCTTAAGCAGTGGAAGAAAAACTTTTTTCTTGGCCGGGCGCGGTGGCTCACGCCTGTAATCCCAGCACTTTGGGAGGCCGAGACGGGCGGATCACAAGGTCAGGAGATCGAGACCACGGTGAAACCCCGTCTCTACTAAAAATTACAAAAAATTAGCCGGGCGCGGTTGTGGGCGCCTGTAGTCCCAGCTACTCGGGAGGCTGAGGCAGGAGAATGGCGTGAACCCGGGAGGCGGAGCTTGCAGTGAGCCGAGATCGCGCCACTGCACTCCAGCCTGGGCTGGGCGACAGAGCGAGACTCCGTCTCAAAAAAAAAAAAAAAAAAGAAAAACTTTTTTCTTTATGGCATATGCATAATACTATGCTAAACCCAGTTCTAGCTTATACTCATCAAGAAAAACATGCAAATTTATGCTAATATTAGTTATTTCTTTCAGCATTGAGTATGCTAGTTTGATTCAAGAATAACAAAACTGCTAAGCTTCATATTTATATCAAGTATTTTCCAGAGTCCCTGTGCTGATAAGGCAATTTTATTGGTTAAAAAAAGCAAATAGTTGAGTTGACAGCTTTTCTTCCACAGTCTTGATTGCTTAAGACGGACTGCTCCAGAAATTCCTCAAAACTCAGAAAGAATACTTCCCACTCCATTTGTCAGATGTGTAGAAATCATAACTGAGAAACTAAGTATATTTTTGACACTTAGAAAAGTTAATTTTAAGTCATGGAAAATGAAATAATGTTCACACATTTATCTAATAACATATTTAAGAAATAAACCAAAATAAGTTAGAGTATCTTTTGCTTTTTGTAGGCACAGTTACAATAAGTAATTAACTACAATAATTTAACATTTATGTTTTACTATTTTCTAGGGAGGTTCTTCACTAGCTTGAATAATATTCTAATAACATTTTATTGCTGAGAAAGCAAGCTTGTCTGCTAGAGGCCCTAATCAACTAATTTCCTCTAATGAGTTGCAACACTGACTAAACGGGTGAACATTTTCTCATTTGTGTAATAAACAATCTACGTTACAGTGTCTTAATAGCAATCACATGAAATGTCTTCAAATGTTTACTCTCATCTCCTAAAAATAGGCAAATCAAATGTTTCTTAAACGAATTCATCTTACCTTTTTGACGATAACTGAGTAGTCAACTGAACCGCTTCGAAAGCACACATAACAAGAACAAAGGGGATTAAAATCTATAAAAGAACAATAAATGATGCCATGAATAACTGAAGCATTTGAGACACTTTTTGAAAAAACTACTATTTCTGCTTACAGAAATATTTTCAATTTCTCAAGTAACTTTTATATATACTAGTGAAAAGCAAACACTGAAATAAAAGCATGATACCAATGGCACATAGAACAGTGATGAAACTGACTTAAAAACCTACATTAATAAGCTATACAATGTAAAAGACAGCAAACATCAATACATATTCCAAATAAAAGCCTATTACAAATTTTGTTCCATTTAGTGTATTCTAATAATTAACAACAAGGTTCAAAAGATTCCAAGAGGGTGTGAAAAACACAGAATGCCCAAATCAAATAAATTATATAACCTGATAATTTGATTCACAGATCCTTAAACCCATCTGGTTATTTAAAACTATAACATCATAAACATGATTCAGCTTCTCAATCATTGCTTTTTGTTTTTTTAAAAAAATACATTTATTTATGATTATAAAATTCACACTCATTATAACAAATTTGAAAAAAAATTATAAAACATTTGAAATAAAGCCATAGCAAAATTTATGCTGGTTGAAAATCCATAATCCAGAGCGAATACTGTTAATATCTTGAGGTATTGCTTTCCAATTATCAATTTTGAAAAAATATATAACTTGATGTTTCAAAAAAGGGGGAGATATGGAAAATAAATGATGTTCAAGATTGCATAAAGTTATTTTTCAAGTGAAGGACATATGGATAAAATAGAATTCAGCAGGGCCCTCACTTCTAGACACATCAGTCAACAAAAGTCATCAAGTGTATTATGTCATTAAAGCTTACTGCTTTGTGCTAGAGACTAAGAACCCAGCATTTTAATATGAGCTTTGTTTTTCTCTCCCTCCCTCCCTTCCTTCCTTCCTTCCTTCCTTCCTTCCTTCCTTCCTTCCTTCCTTCTTTCTTTCCTTCCTTCCTTCCTTCCTTCCTTCCTTCCTTTCTTGTTTTTAATTAAAGGTCCATGGTCTTTAATAAATTGGGAAAAAAAAGTCACCATTTTAAAAATGTGAATGAAAATTAAGGAAATAGCAACATGTTTTAAAATAACTCAGTAGAAAACAGGACATGAGAAAATGAACATCTTTTTAACATTTCTTAAACTTCCATTTGTATTAGTGTAGTAACAAAAAGTAGACATTAATCCTATTAAGATGACACCTTTAATCATTTTTATTTATAAATCTGAACATTAGGTAATCGGATTTTAGGCAAGTATCAGCTTAGTTTATTTAAACAAATATATACTAAATAAAATGTGTCAGGCATTATGGTAAAGGGAATAAAACAAGCATAATTACCTTAGAGAAGAAGAACAAGAATTACATTATAATGAAGAATCTGAACCCCTGGAAAGCTGAAAATTGTCATTATCTTTGTATTGTCAGCATCCAGCTAGTATCTAGCACATCACTGAATATAGCAGAAAATGACATTTGTTGAATGACTCGATCAATTCTAGGTACATGGATTATGAGAAAAGATTATGTTGGCAATCTCATAGGTAGAGAACATGGGTTCAGGGAACCTTATACTCTTTAGCAGCACTGCAGTTTGATCCATAGCTTCCCACAGGCTTTAATCACATCTGATAAGATCCTCTCAAATTAACAGTTGAATCCCTACTCTTTTGAAGTCCAATGCACTTATGAGTAAAGCAAAAAGATTAACTGTGGTTTGGAGTAAGCGATAGAGGGTCTCACCTCCAATTTAGCAGTGCCAACTATGAAAGGATATCTTCTTTCCATTGCTACTTAACTCTGTTGAAATGACTTTATAATCTTAATTAATCAATAGCTTAATACAAATAACAAAATAAGAAAACTAACCTTCCACATCATCAGGGCTCCCATCATGAAAGGACTGAACACAGTCAGAAAGCAATAGACAGAGGCAAGATCAAAGCTAGGGAATTATAACAAGGAAAAAGGATTTAGAATTCACTCTGTAAGTTTAAAAGAATGTTCTTCTAAAAAGATGTTTAAACTAATTCTCTGAAATCTACTTACTAAAACATAAGCAAACATCATATTATGAAGCCACTAAAATGAACGCAGTAGATCTGAATGCGCCAATACATACCAATCTCCAAAATATATCATTCAGTATGAAAAGAAAGGCTGGGTGCCGTGGCTCATGCCTGTAATCTCAGCACTTTGGGAGGCCGAGGTGGGTGGATCACCTGAGGTCAGCAGTTTGAGACCAGCCTGACCAACATGATGAAATCCCATCTCCACTAAAAATACAAAAATTAGCCAGGCATGGTGGTGGGCGCCTATAATCCTAGCTATTCGGGAGGCTGAGGCATGAGAATTGCTTGAACCTGGGAGGCGGAGGCTGCAGTGAGCCGAGATCACACCGCTGCACTCCAGTCTGGGCAACAGAGTGAGACTTTGTCTCAAAAAAAAAAAAAAAAAAAAAAAAAAAAAGGTAAGGTACAGAACAAAAGGTATAGAAGTCTCAGGTTGCATTATTTTTTGGTTATACATATGCCACTTTCATTTAAAATTACCTGTTAATAGAAGCTATATTTCCAGTTCCAAAAAATGCTGTCACTAAGAAGAAAACCTAAAGGAAGTCAAGGAAATGGCAAAACAACTCAGATTTCATACAAATTTCCTTTTCATTTAGAAAAGATATGCTAATTTTACCTTGAGAGTAATTTGCTTTTTTACTTGCATATTGACCATGAATTGTTTTCAGTGAACATTCCATTATATCTCCCTGTCAATGCATTTTAAAACAGCCAGACTGAAGAGGGAGTGTACTGAGAATAATGAGGCCTGAGAGGTCATCCTCACTCAGTCCCTAGTAACCTTAGGAAGGTTATTTTCCTCTTCCCTAACATGAGCAAGGTGGACCATATCTGTAGTTGGCTGCTAGTGATTTTTTTCAAAAGGAAAACGTGGATCTAGGGTATAACATAGACATTTTCAGCTGAAAGACACGGTTATAGTCTATATATGCTTGCTGTAAACCCACCACATGTTAAACACATGCTAGACTGCTTGAAAGGCTCAGGAAGAAACAAGATATCATGTTTTAAAATAATTCAATAGAGAATGACACATGAAAAAACACTGAACATCTTTTTGACATTTCTTAAACTTACATTTGTATTAGTAAAGCAATAAACATTGATATCAACCTTAGTGTCCAAGAACTTACTGCTAGCAAAGCATTTAAAATGGTGCCTAGCCCACTGAAAGGGCTTGGTAAGTGTTAGCTCTTTTATTACTATAGATACCCACAAAAAATGGTGAAGCAACACTGAAGAGGAAGTATGAATCATGACAATCTTCAGTGAAAAAGAGGCATTTGAGTTGGTGAGTTGAGCCTTAAATGTATTCATGGATTCAGTGATTCAACCAATCATCTAACCAACCGATGTTTATTATCTAGTATATGTCAGAGATAGAGATAGGCACTAAGAATATAAACATAAACAAAATAGTCTCAAAATACTCCAATGGTGACTAAGATATGATGACAGAAATAGAGGAGAGACATTTTAAGGTAAAGAACACTGAGAAAAAAATGACACCGCCAAGAAAGAGTAAAAAGGTTTGATAGATAGGAACTTAGACTTTATTGAAGGATATGGTGAAAGATGAAGCAAGAAATATAGATTAGTGGCATGTTAATAAAAAGCCTGAACTTGGCCGGGAGTTGTGGCTCACGCCTGTCATGTAATCCCAGCACTTAGCGAGGCCGAGGCAGGTGGATCGCGAGGTCAAGAGATTGAGACCATCCTGGCCAACATGGTGAAACCCCATCTCTACTAAAAATACAAAAATTAGCCGGGCATGGTGGCGCATGCCTATAGTCCCAGCTACTCAGGAGGCTGAGGCAGGAGAATCACTTGAACCTGGGAGGCGGAGGTTGCAGTGAGCCGAGATCATGCCATTGCACTCCAGCCTGGCGACAGGGTGAGACTCCGTTTTTTTTTGTTGTTGTTGTTGTTGTTGTTTTTAAAGAAAGCCTGAACTTCATTGTGGATACAGTGAAGAGTAGAAAATCTTTTAGGCTGGTGTTAGAATCAAGAAACACCAGTAACTGTGTGATATTCAGATAAGGGAGACAAATAATTGGAGGCAGAAAATTCAAGTAGGGAGCAATTTTGGTAGTCCATATCAGAGATAAGGAAGTGTGAACTGATGCAGTGGGAATGAAGATCAAGAGTGAAGGGAGCCACAGGGACTTTAGAAGTGGACAAGGAGCAGTTAAATATGACAACAAGTTGGACGTCTTGGGGACATGGAGTATGGTGATGCCATTAAATGAGATAAGGCCTGCCAGAGAGAGTGACTTTGAAGAGGAGTGGCAGTTGTTAATCAGTTTGGGACACATATTTGGTGATGCCCAGCAGAATGTTAGACATGTGGTCCTTCAGGTCACAAGAGAGGTCAAGTTTGGAAAAACAGATCTTAGAGTTGTTTGCAAAGAAGTGTCCACCAAAGTTACAGGAAAATATGGCATAAACCAGGCACAATAAGAGAAGGTGGAGCATGGAGAAAAAAATATGGCTGAAGATCAGGCAAAGGAAGCAATTATATAAAAATCTTAGAAGAAAACTTGTACTGTGTCCTGGATGTGAAGGGAAAAGAAAGAGAAAACATAGACTTGAATGTTAAAGTGTGGTCAGGTAAACTGAATAGATTTGAGGGATCAGGAAGCCCCTGCAGACCACTGACAGTACAACTTCGGCAGAGACATCTGACAAATACTGATAGAGCACTACTATGTGTCAGGCATTGTTAGAGGTCTGTGGACACGGTATATACATGGAGAGAAAATAATGGCAGCAACTATAAATTTTTCTTTCAAAAAATTAAACAGAAAGGACAAGATGAAATTATAATTTAGGGAAATGCAAGGATCAATGGGTAAAGTGCTTTATTAGTATTAGCTGATTGGAAAGAACCTGTAAAGAGAAAAAGAAAGCAAAACAGAGTGAAAGCAAGAGACAGAGAGGATGGAATATTTATTTTCTGTACCTGAGAGGTCTAGACTGTGCACCATGGACAGCTCAAAGGAAATGCCTCCAATACTTACAAGCCATGTATCTGATAAGGGGCTAGTATCCAAAACATACAAGGAACTCCTACAGCTAGCAAAAGTAAAATAGTCACACTTAGAAAAAGAGAGTAGAATGATGGTTGCCGAGGGATGAGAGGAGGGGGGAAAGGGGAAATGTTGGTGAAAGGGTATGAAGTTTCAGTTGTGCAAGATGAATAAGGTCTAGAGATGAAATGTACAGCATGGTGACTATAGTCAGTAATATTGTACTGTATACTTGAAATATGCTAAGAGAGTTGATCTTAAGTGTTCTCACTGCAAAAACAGAAAGAAAAAACAGTAAGTGAGGCAACAGATACGATGATTATTTTACAATGTATACATATATCAAAACATCAAAATATACACCTTAAATATATACAATTTTTGTCAATTATACTTCAATAAAGCTGAATAAAATAAAATAAAGGAAATACATCCCTATGATTTCTTGCAGCTAGTCAGTGAGCCTTTCCAAACTAAGACTTTCCTCTGCCATACTGTCTTTCAAACTTCTGCTACTAACAACTTTCACAACATTGCCTCTGAGGTGATCCAAAAACCTTTGTGAGACAGATGTTATGTAATATGAGTTTAGAATAAAATGCACATAAAAAGATATGAACTCATAATTGTGCTTTCTTCCAGGATGAGAGAAATTAGACTGAAGTTGGGAGTTGAAAGACTTTAGCTTTAGCTCTAATGTTTTAATTTCTTAAAAACACATTTTTAAAAAAACATATGTGACAAAATACTAATGGCTAATATCTTGAATAGCAGGAACATATATACATACGTATCATTCTTGATACTTTTCTATAGTTCAAAAAATGTTTTTATGTGAATTACATGAGAAAACTATAGTTCAGGGAGGTTAAACTACTTAATACCACTATTAAGTGATGGGCAGAAACACCTTCCATGTCTTCTTACTCCATTAAGTGGGAGTCGCAGCTCTTTAAACCAAAGTCTCAACAAAGGATACAAGGAAAAAGGCCCTACGGATGTCATCCAGATACAGCTGTCGAAACTGAGTTATATCAGTATTATAAGAGAACTGGATACTGGTAAGCTGTGAGATAATAAGAAAAATATTAATGCACAATAACAGTTGACTTATTTCTATATTTGAAGGCAAACTCACAATGGCTAAGTTACAATGGCTAGAAACACGCCCTGTGTTGACAAAAAAATAAAAAACAATAAATCTTTCCCTAGGGTTTAATTACACCTTAATAAAATCTGTCAAAAGGTAAAATAATATATAGAATACAGTTGTAGTGTTGCTATATGTGTAACAAAAGTGAGAGCTGAGCTTTTTCTTATCTTATATAAATGCTTCATTTTAAAATTACTATAAAAATTCTTCCCTTTTCAAAGACTAATTTCTCCGAGTGTCCTCATCATCTTAAACCTAGATATGGTATCATATTAAAAGGCATGGTAAAATTAAACGTTTGTTTATTTGTCCCTCTATTAATTCTATTTGCAGAGAAATTTTCTTTCTGTAAAAAAGCAACATATTCCTGTCTTTGGTAGAACAGAAAGCCACTCAATCCAACAAGGTGAGTGCACTCTTGCTTAAACACCTTCCACAAATAGAACACTAATGGGTGAATTTAAAGGTAGACTTTCCCCACTCCTACTTCCCATGTAATTTTCTAGTAAGTTCTTGGGATGTTTTAATACTCTTTTCTAGAAAGAGATACATTTGCTTTCAGTTAAAAACATAGAATTTAAAAAGTAACACAATAATCCTCAGCCTGATGAAATATTTAATATTAAGGCTAATCTCTGAGTATTTACATGAATCTGCTCAAAACTGCTTTTCATGTATTATTTTAATATTCAAGGACTAAAAGTTTAAAACCAGTAATTATTAAATATGCCTCAATAAAGTTTCTTCTTTATTGAAATTAATCATTCTGAATTATCAATAACAATTTACAAACTCAACTGGAGCCAGATAAGGATGGATCAACTATGAAGGTATTTTCTGTAATATTCATTTTATGTGACCTTAGTAAAATTGTAAATAATCTATCACCAATTTCTCAGAATTACCATCAGCTCTAAATATAGACAAGAAACATCAATTTAATTCTATAGCCCACCATGATAAAGGTATCCTTAAAAATTGGTTGGACTTTAGCCAACTCAAAGTATTATGTGTTGCATAAACAGTCAAAGATTTGGACTGAGGCCACAGTCATTAAGGCAGCAGAATAAGCAATCTGTATTAGGATGACCAGAAAGAGAAAAACAATAATAGAAACTTAAATGTCACCTTATAATCAAATTCATAAATTGACTTGTGACAACATAACAATTCTTCTAAGATAAATTGACAGAAGGAAAAATTGGATGTGAAATATGAAAAAAAAGTAAAAAGCATTCTTTTCTCTATTCTTTCACTTATATTGACATTTTTTAAAATCAATGATTCTCAAGTAATCACTAAGAAAAGCCCAACCTACACAACAACAAAATTGTGCTTTTCTGTGATAAGTAAAAAATCTTCCTTACCAATTATTAACTTAATTAATGCCAAACAACCAAAACTTTTTAACACTAAAATTTTAAGGAGAAAGAATTTTTGAAATAACATTGCAACTTCCTTATAGGATAGAGACTAATAGTCTCAAATAAAAACAACAATGACTTTGACCAGTTACCTTTTGTTTACAGCAAACACCAGATTGTTGTAGAGTTTCTTGTTCTATGTTTATCCAGACAAACATCAAACAAGACAATACTAGTGGAAAGACAGCTTCATACCTAACAGGTGGGGAAAGGTAGAAATGAAAAGGAAAAAACAGTAAAATAAGTAAAAATGCAAATTTACACTGAGGTCTTTCTCAAAATTAAAATAATTTGATAATACTTCTAAGTCACAGTATTACAAAACTTAAATTTTCTAGGCTTTCCAGAAGAAGAAAGTAGGAAACTAATATTTAAATTTTAACCCCAACATCATCTTTTTTGAGTGACATGAAATCTTGAGATAATTATGTGTTTAAAATAATAGAAATATATAAAAGTCATTCATAAAGCAAATGACAGATACACATAAAAGAGAAAGAAGGCATGAAGACAAAGGTAAAAAGATAATTCTTGAGGTAAAATTATTAACATACATAGAAGAGGAAGAAGAACACTCTAAATTTTCAAAAAAATGGGTGAAACAAGAACACAAACATGAAAATTGTTTGACCTTATTGATAACATATGGAAATTAAAACAATGGTGATATATCATATTTGCCAATATTAAAACAACAGTGTTAGCCGGGCATGGTGGCTCATGCCTGTAATCCCAGCACTTTGGCAGACCAGGGCAGGCAGATCACGAGGTCAGGAGTTCGAGACCAGTCTGGCCAGCGTAGTGAAACCCTGTCTCTACTAAAAATACAAAAAATTAGCCGGATGTGGTTGTGTGTGCCTGTAATCCCAGCTACTCAGGAGACTGAGGCAGGAGAATCTTCTTTGAGAAGATTCTGTCTCAAAAACAAAACAGTGTTGATAAGAGGGCAATGAAAAAGGAACTCTCATATGCTCTCTATGGGAATATACACTTTCTGGAAGACCATCTGATACTATGTATTAGAATCTCAAAAATATTCATATACTATAATGCAATAAGGCCATTTCTAAAAGTTTACCCTGAGAAAATAATCAGACATGTGCTACAATTTCCATGATAAAGATATCTGTTGTAACACTGGTTACAGAAGGGGGAAACAGAAAACAACCTACATGTCCACAGGGGAATGATTAAATGCGTGGTACACCTACAGGCTGGAGTGTAAAATGGACACAAAAACAAAGGAGAAGTGCTCATGAGACAACACAGTGATAGAGCCTTTTCTAAACAGTTTCCGCTTTGTCTGGGGTAAATGTTCCACCTTCATAATCCCTAAATGCTCTATTATAGTACTTACACCATCTTAATCACATGTTTACCTGTATGCATCTATTATTACTTTATAAAATCTTTGAAAACCAAGTCTGTGTCTGTCTCATCACCACTGCTGGCCCAGCTCACAAATATTTGCTGAGTGAGTTATTTATCTAATCAGAAGTTACAAAACAAAACAAAGACTTATTTCCTTTTTGAGTCTTTCAACTACCAAACTCTACAGCATATGGCATTATTTCCTAAAGATGAGAAAGTAAAAAAATTCCAAACACTTTAAACACTATTACAAATTATAAAATTATAACACTGAAAACTGGGCAGAAGAAAAGATTCAGGTTTCAGAAAACATACACAAATCACTTGATATATAAGACTTAGAAGGCCCAGGGATACGAACAGATACTACACACATGAGAAAATAGCATGAGTAAAACAAGTACAGAAAACTGTACAAAGCAGTGCCATATCTGACCTCTTAATATAACGTTTGATATTCTTATTTAAAAATGGAAATACCAAATACTGTTACATATTTGTTACAGATAAGATGAAATAGTACTCCTCATATATAGTTTGTTGTAGATATTATACATTGGCACTGTTCTTAAGACAATTACAAGTTAAAAAAAGAAAGTTCATACCCAATGGCCCACATACACTATATGAGAAGTGAACAAAGGAAATAATCCAGACTATGAAAAAGCTTATGCATAAAAACATAACTCAAAATATTATGTGTAATAATAAAAAGTTGAAATAAAATCCATATCATGAAATATTAAATATCTATTAAAATGGTGGCTAGGAAGCCTATAAGCCACCTAGAAAATGCTTCTGAAATAATGTGAATTAGAAAAAAAGATCCAAAATAGAACATGTACTGCAATTAATTTTATGTTAAAAAGACAAATATGGGGGGGGGGTAACACCAGAAAGAAATATACCAGAACATTAATAAGAGTAGAGTTAATACATGATTTTATCCCTTATCCCTACTTTCCATAATGTGATGACTCTATATGTCCAGTGATTTTTTAAAAATTGAAAAACAAATATTTAGAATGCTTGTATCCCTGGCCTTTCTTTAAAGTTCAGTTCAATGTCCTTGATGGCATTAACTCAGCTTTCCTATTCAAGCTCTTTCTCTAGTCAGTCTTTGTTTCATACAACACACAACTTCATTAACTCACAGTAACTTCATTGTTTGATTTTGTGATTGCCTAACACTGTAAAATACAGCTCTTATTTTATAGCAGCTTATAACTCTATTGTACACCAGTATTACACTAACGGTTCTCTCTGTGTGTCTGCAGAGCGCTCTGGACACTGGATATATGAAAGAAAAAACAACTGTTGATTAATTGAATCAAGGTACATACTCTGAACAAAAGGGGACCATAATTTTTTTAAAGATTTGCAGTTATATATGAAGTTATTGTTTCCTAATATTTAAAAACATAAATGTCATAGTTCTACAAATAGTAGAATTTATTTCCTTTTAAAAAACTATACATTATGATCATTTTCTTTTGTAAAATGTAGATGAATAAACCAGATAAAGATAATCTTCCTATGGGACTTTATCTCTTAAGACAATCAATATTTTGTATAAAGTCTGTATATCTGCATTAATAAACTGAAATATCAATGAAATGTCATCACAGGCTCAGGGAGAACATAATGAAAACTTACTAAATTAGGATCTGCTGGTTTGGTCTCTGTGCAAATTGAATAGGGCTGACAAGGCATTCAGCTTTGTATTATAGTTTGCTAAGCAAAGGAATAATGCAAAGAAAATTTCAAAGGGAAATGTTTAACCAGCACTAACCAAGAGAACAAGCTATTTTCAAGTATTACAATAGCTCCATTTGCATAAAATAATTAAGTGCTGATTAAAAATGAATCTTCTTTATTCATTAAATCAAGAATGCATTGTAAGAATGTAAGATTACTATTGTTGTATTTCTATATTATAATATAACTATATTTCTTTTAAATATTCTGTAATTCTGAATATTCAGTAATTTACACAGAGAACCCTCCAGGTCATCCAAAATGGGTAAGGCTGAATCATAACAGGTGGACTATGTTTTGCAAAACTGATTTGACACTGAGAAAATGTACTGATTGAAATGACTGAATTGTGCTATTTCAAGATACTCTTTTCAATTTTTTTTGGCAAAGCTAGATACACTTTCTGATGTTGAATAATATATCTCTTAATGAATTCATTAATAAGGTCATATAGTGCCTTATTCTGATTTTAGGTATAGATTTTCCCTTTTTAGATTTTCTTAAGTTATGATTCTGATTATGCTTATTATGATAATTTGTTTTGGCATCTCCTATGACTATTAAATTGATGATTTAAAATACTATGTAAGTTACATGATTAATCATGCTACCTTATGAAATAGTTTTTTTACTCAAAATTAAACTTCAGTTATCTTTGTTTCTTGATCTCCTTTTCTAATCTAGCAAATCAGATCTATTTTTATACTTGTTTACATTTTTAAATCAACTACACATCCCTTTAAATCTGTTTATTGTTTTAGAATTTGAAAGTTCAAAAAAGAGAAAGGCCTATTGATTAAGAGACTGTACAGAAGTTAGTACATATTTCTGGACACTTTCCAACATTTATTTCCTTAAGTCAACCTCTGGGTGTAATCTCTTAATAAAATTCATGAGTCTCCCTGAAACGGTAGGTTAGAATAGAAGTTATTTTAACTTCTGCTTTCTTATATAGATCAAAAACTTGTGCATAGCCAAATTCATTTTTACTCTCATAGATTCTAATTTAACAAAATTATTTATCCTGAAATTTCACTAATAAAGGGGGAAACTGTAAAAGATTTTAAGCTTTCATGTTCATCACTCTTGAATAACAGATGCTCATAAATTTCCAGTTTTATTTTAAAGTTCTATTTCAAAGGTCTAAATCTCAAAGAAAGCCTCTCTTAAAATCTTGTTAGGTAGCTGGTAAAAAGTTCCATGACATTTGTATCACATCTTCAGAGCTGTGGCCCACATCTGGTTAGGCAGGGGGAAGGGAAACAAAAGGAGATAGACAGCTTTGGTGAAAAAAAGGTTTAGGGCCCCACTGGATCATCTCTTATATGAGACTACAAGAACTCCTGAGGTCTAGGTCACTTAGGGTGTTAGGGTCTACTGTGGGAAGACTTTGAGAACACCTCTAATTTTGAATTATGACAACTAAGTTTCCAAAAGGGAGAACCTGAGCCTTAGACCCCAAATGGCTTTACAAAATCATTTGAACTGTGAATAATCTCATAGCATAATGGTGAATCCCTAGGTTTAGTCTAACTTCGATCAAGATTCTGTATTCGGGCTAAAATTCAAACTGTTTATGAGTGGTGTTTATTCACTGTTTGTTCTAGTCATTGTTTGTTATAATGTGCACATTTCTTATCCTCATAAAGATTTAAGTAAGGACAAAATTCAAAAACAAGAAAAGAATTCTTCAAAGATAACGGACAGAGTACATCCCTTTCTTCACTGAGTTCCAGAAAATGCTTTGGGATTCACCCCAAGTCAAGCTGCTGATTTTTTGTTTTCTTTTGTTTTGGTAAGCAAATTTCAATCTTAAACAAAAATCTTTAAAAGTTTTGGGAAAATATTCTGAAGGTTCTCTGAATCAAATGAATATTTGAATTGTGAGATGTGTAAGATTTAAAAAGTACTATATTCAAAGAAGAATGGCCAAATCAAAGCATAATTTAAGATGGATACAAGGAATGCAATAAAAAATAAAAGTCAATGAGACTTAAAATTCTTCCATAATCAATCAGAATTTTCTAACATTATAGGTAAGTGATATTTTAGCAACTTCAGAAAAGAGAAACACAAAGACAGCAAGCAATACTATGAAATGGATTAAAAAAAAAGAAAACAGAAGATTACAGATCAAGTCAGATATAGTTCTCACTGAGAAGTAAATATTTATAATGTATCCCTCAAGATTTAGAAAACATTTTTCATTTCCAGAAGTTAAACACTAATAGAGAAAATACCAATATATCATTTAAAACGTGCTGCTATAAAATTAAATTGTTAAAAAGTTTATACCCTGTGCTTAGAAGTAGGTAGGTTGACATCAATGAAAGAAGTATGCTGAACAATCGCTGAAAGACAGCTGGAGAACTCAGTAGTGGCACAAACAAGGAAGAGGCTGCAATGAAACAAAACAGGTCATTTGTCAGTACAAGAGACACAAAAAAATGTTAGTGTAGAGCCAGGCATGGTGGCTCACACCTGTAATCTCAGCACTTTGGGAGGCTGAGGCAGGTGGATCACCTGATGTCAGGAGTTCGAGACCAGCCTTGCCAACATGGTAAAACTCCCATCTTTACCAAAAATACAAAAATTAGCCGGGTGTGGTGGCAGGTGCCTGTAATCCCAGCTACTTAGGAGGCTGAGGTAGGAGAATTGCTTGAACTCGGGAGGCGGAGGTTGCAGTGAGCCGAGATTGCACCATTGCACTCCAGCCTAGGTGACAAGAGTGAAACTCCATCTCAAAAACAAAAACAAAAAAAGTTACTGTAGAAGCCCTGAATAATCTAGTATCATTTATGGCATTTATTGCTTTGTGACCTTGAACATGAAGCTACATATCCCCTAATTATAGTCAAGCCTCACATTTTTTATTAATATTACATTTCATTGTTTTAACTATGCTCAGATTTTCTCAATTTATATTCAGCCCAGATCACTGTAATATTATTAACTCAAAAATGAATTATTTTCTAATGAAATAAAAGTATTACTCAAGATTTAGCACCCTTTGCTTAATTAGGCATTTATATCTTAGTTCAAAGACAACTTACTCCTCAGAAACTGATTTTTTCCTAACCCCTTCCTTCTCCAAGTTTTCCTGCTGTAAAGTATGCACTGACAGTTGCAGTATGCCCCTTGGAAAAGAGAACAGGAATGAGTTCACCATGCATGAGAGTTGTATTAACTCTCCCCCGGGATAATAAAAGGAACTACCCAAGCAGAGGAAGGGCAGATGAAGTGGGTGGGGTGGCAAAATGTAAACTCCTCCATCCCTATTCTGGGAAGGAAATGTGCATAACTTCCTAATCCCCCTAGTGCTCTAGAGTTTGAAGATAGACAAGTTGGGATGAAATCCCGGCTGAATCACTTACTAATTGCTCAAACTATAGGGCAAGTTCATTAACTGATCTAAGCAGAAATTTACCCACCTATCAAATAGAGATGACATTAAAAAGTTGTGAAGATTAAATACAATTTCACCTATACAATGTTCGCTGAGCATAGTGCCTAGCACATAGTGCTTAGTAACTGTTAACTGTGGTTATTATTATTAGTCAACATCTTCTAAATTAATTTACATGTAATGTCAATTTCATCTAAAGTCGTCACTGCAAGATTTAAGACTATGAAGTTATATTTTTAATACCCTTACATGAGTAGCTTCTGACTTTTTTCCAGATGTGTAGTTCCGATCATAATCAACTGATACATATTTTAACTGGAAGAAATAACATTTCACTATCTCTGATTTTAAAAGTCAGTTAATCTGTTGGACAAATGATGGTTGTTAAAAAATAAAAAATAAATAAAAAGTAAATAATAAAAGTCAGTTCAAATGAGACCTCTTCCGTAAAACTGTACACATTTTCTGTCCTTGTTCTACGTTTGTCTAAATGCTTGATAAGGTACTAAAGGGGAAATAAGAGTCTCTATTCTAAATGACATAAGTAGAACCAATTTCAAAACATACCGTCCATTTGGAGATCACAGCATATTAAGCAAAAATGCTCATTAAAGCTAGACCATGGTGTATTTGTGCCTAAAAGAGATCTTTGGAGATACTGATGACTTACCTATGAGTTAACTTTATTTCATGTCTTACATCATTTTGTAGGTATCCTCTAGAAGCTAGCTCTACCAATACCAAGAAGGAAAGATCTTGTTTAAAATACATGCCCAGAGAAACTTTCATGTTTGGAGAACAACAGCAATAAACTGATTCTAAATCTCCTCCTCACCATTCCAAAACAATAATCAAATAAACAAGGACAATTAAAAAAAACCATACAGGATACTCCAAATAGAGAAAGAAGCATATAAAACACTGCATAATGTATAAGTGTGCTCTACTACAACATAAGAAGATTTGACAGAATCTTATTGACAGAATCTTCAATTTGTTGTAGTAGAGCACACTCACACATTATGCAGTGTTTTATATGCTTCTTGAGAACAAGCCTAAGAGTCATGTTAGTAAACATGAATGAGCTCAACTCACCTTTTTATTTAAAAGAAAAAAAATTGTGGAATTGGCACATAAAGCAAAACCTAACTCTAGGCAGAACACAGGAACTAAACTTAAAACACAGTGATTCTAAAAGGCTAAAAATAAAGGCTAATGGAAACAGTACAAAATCTAGAGTTGCAATCCTGATACCAAAGTATACTTTAGACCAAAAACAATCAATAAGGAAAAGAAGAACACTTTATGATGTTAAAAGTAACATTCCACAATGATAATGTAATAGTTATGAATATTTTGCTGCAAACAACATAACCTAAAACAAAATTATGACATCCTTCACAGAAATAGAAAATAAAATCCTAAAATTCATATGGAACCACAAAAGACTCTGAATAGCTAAAGCAATCCTGAGCTTTTAAAAAGAGAACAAAGCTGGAGGCATCATGAAGTCATGCTGAAGGCATGATTTCAAAGTATACTACAAAGCTATAGTAACCCAAACAACATGGTACTGGTATAGAAACAGACACATAGGTGAATGGAACAGAATAGAGAACCCAGAAATAAATCCACACATTTATAGCCAACTCATTTAGACAAAGGCACCAAGAACATACATTGAGGAAAGGACCGTCTCTCCAATAAATAGTGCTAGGAAAATGGAATATCCATATTCAAAACAATAAAACAAGACCCTTATCTCTTACCACATAAAAAAGAAATCAACTCAAAATGGATTAAAGACTTAAATGTAAGACCTGAAACTATGAAACTACTAGAAGAAAACATTGGGAAAACACTTCAGGACAGTAGTCTGACAAAGATGTTTTGGGTAAGACCTCAAAAGCACAGGTAACAAAAGCAAAAGTAGACAAATGGGATTATATCAAGATTAAAAGCTTCTGCATAGCAAAGGAAACCATCAACAGAGTGAAGAGACAACCTACAGAATGGGAGAAAATATTTGCAAACTACCCATCTGACAAGGAATTAATAAAATATATAAAAAGTATAAACAATTGAACAGCAAAAAACCTATTAATTCAACTAAAAAATGAGCAAATGATCTAAGTAGACATTTCTCAAAAGAAGACGTACAAATGGCCAACAGGTATATGAAAAAATATTCACTATCGCTAATCTTCAAAGAAATGCAAATCAAAACCACAATGAGATATCATTTCGCCCCAGTTAGAACTGCTATTATCAAAAAGACAAAAAATAGCAGATGCTGGCAATGATGTGGAGACGGGGGAAACTTTGTACATTGTTGGTGGGAATGTAAGTTAGTACAGCCATTCATGAGGGGTGGGCCCCCATGACCCAAACAACAAAAATCATCAAAAGATGTAAAAAAGTGTATGTCAAATTATTCACTGGCATTACAAAGTGTCTTCTCTGAACAAAAAACTTGGGCTCAAAACTTGCTCTTGTCTTCCAACTGGAAGGGAAAACCTAAGTCCTAAAATTACATGTTTGCTTCACACATATATTTCAACATTCTCAATTAAGAGGACTACATAGAAAAATATGCTTTCAAATGTCTAACTAGCTTTAAAAAATATGTAAGGTATACTAGTCGATGTTATTTTCAGGAAGGGAAACAGATAAAATTTAAACATTTCCCAGTCCCTGTGTAAGAACAGAGAATTTATGAATTGGCATGAAAATGAAGCATAAGATCCTCTTCACCCTTTTCTCTTTTGGAATCACTTAGTCAAATCTTATAAGACGTTAATAAATACATAGCTTTATTATCAGGTCATAAATATTCTATCCAATTATCTTAGTAACACATGCATGCACATGAGAATTCTCTTTGTTAAATTCCAGCAAGAGTTAGAAATAATAGCTCCTTATTATTATTTTCCTGCAACAAAATTATTTCTTTCAATAACAATGATACAGACATAAACAGATCATTTTAAAATAACTAAGTTGATATCAAATTACCTCACTTGGTTTGAGTGGCCTCTTACCTAATGTTGCCCAGCTAATAATTTGATTCATAAGAGGCAGTCCTTGCTTCCTAAGTAGACTACTCTGGGTGCTATACACAACATACATGGAGAGCACTGTGCTCAGCACCTAAAGACAAAGATGAAATAAGTTAAAAAAAAAAAAAAAAGAGAAGGTAGTGAAAGACTATAACTAGCAAGAACGTAAGACAGTCTTATTTCTGAGATGTTAAAATCTGGAAAAAATGTGTATCTTGGAATCAATGAAATACAGTGGACAGTACAGGAACTGATGCAAGTTAATAAACCTAATGCAAAAATGAATTTTGTAACAGAGTTACCTAATACTTAGGGGTATGTCTAACAAAGCACATAAGAATGTTAGCATGATATTCTTGGCTACCCTAGAGAGAGATCCAGAAACATTCACTTCTGTGGAAGCACTCATTATTCTGGATACATTCTGTCAAAGCTACTACGGCTTAAGTGTAAAGCCAGTCAGAGTACCATTTAAAAAGAAACATATGTTTCAATGGCTTGACAGGATTTTTGACAAAAAATTTCTTCTCTTTTTATAAGTTCCCTGTCGCTCTCCAAGAATGAATTTAACTTGTGATGTAATCTTTCAAATGTTGTGTATTTTTATTTCAGAGTGTTCTTGGAAATACCATCTACTATCCCAGCTCTATTCTTGAGGAAATTTTTTAGAAGACTCATATGAGTTTTGCTTTTTGTCTGTGATCTAAACATGGTTATTTATTTATTTATTTATTTATTTATTTATTCATTCGGTTAAAAAGAAAAACAGATGTTTTCCATCCTTATCTATGGAAAAAGTTGTCATTTTATAGACTATCACATGATACGATGTTCGTCACAACCCTATTAGATATTATCTCTACAGATTAAAAACAAACTGAAGTGGCTGGGTGTGGTGGCTCATGCCTGTAATCCCAGGACTTTGGGAGGCCGGGGCCAGTAGATCACCTGAGGTCAGGAGTTCAAGACCAGCCTGGCCAACATGGTGAAACCCCGAGTCTACTAAATATACAACATTAGCCAGGCGTAGTGGCTCACGCCTGTAATCCCAGCTACTCAGGAAGCTGAGACAGGAGAATCGCTTGAACCCAGAAGGCAGAGGTTGCAGTGAGCTGAGATTGCACCACTGCACTCCAGCCTGGGTGACAAGAGCAAGACTCCATCTCAATAAACACACACACACACACACACACACACACACACACACAGATAAATCAAATTACTAAAAAGTACCCATCTAGTATGCAGCGTAACTGGGACTGACTCAATTTTGAAACATCAAGTTAAAAGTTATTTTCACCACACCAAAGCCACTAACCATGCTGAAGTTTATTTTCACCTGGGACATTAACTGAAGTCTTAAACTGGCTATTCTTAATATAAACATACTCCAGGCTGCCTTCACTTCAAAGAAGTGACCTTCCCTAACCCAAATGAGGACAAGGTAGAATCTCAGTCCAGAGGAAGCCCTTTTCAGTTCAACTTTTTATCAATACAGGTGTCCCTTCAGTTTCGGTAACCTCTGCTCTTCAGGCATCACTGGGCTGCCTCTTATGGACCTTGTGCTATTTCATACCTCTTAAAGAATACATTTCCATGTAGCATCTTAAACAGAAAGCTTTCTTCTCAGCTGGCAGATACTAAGTAGCATAAAGGTAATGGCATTTTATGAACATAATTAAATATAACCATAGGATACATTTTTGGTATATCATTAGTATAACATAGTATTGAAAATCTGTAACAGACCTGTAATAGATGCACCAACAGCTCTTCCTTTCTAAAGCTATCTTTTCTTTTCATGAGAGATGTTACAACACACAGGGATAGCAGAAGAACCAGCAAGCCTGCACCCATCCTGTTTTGAAATACAATTCACAATTTTAAATTTTCTTCAGATATTTACTGAATACGTATCAGATGGAACTATGAGACATCTAACTCTAATACAGACCTCTCAGTCATTTGGCTTAATTAAGAGGAAGTAGCAAAAAGGGTACATTTTAAGATTTTTAAGAAAACTTTTAAGTTTAATATTTTAAGAAAACTTAAAATCTTAGGATAAAGATACTGCTGGATGTGGTTATTTGCAACTTCTCCCCACAATTTTTTAAGTATGTCTACCTTACTTCTATAATTTAATTTTTAAAAATTTTAGGCATATCAAATACTATAATATGTAGCCTGAAATGGGCAAATTCACAAAAATTTACAATATAAAGCATAACTAAACAAGTATATTATCAGTATCTACAACATGTATTTTGTGATTATGAAACTTACTCATGCAAAAAGTATCTACATATATAACCCATATTATTTCTAGCAGGAAAAACAGCTCCCTTCTGTGACAGACCTTGGTATTTTCCTCAGCTGCTCCTGGCTGAGGGAAGAGGTAGGCAGTGGTCACATGGGTGGCATGCAGGTGAGGTATTTGTACAGTAATGAAACAACAAATTACACCTTTCAAGAACACCAGGTATAGTATGTTTCCTAAAGTCAAAGGTGACTGATCCCAGGGAAATGGTGCCCTACTGTTGAGCTCTGTCTCACCTCCTTAACATCTGAATAACACAGTACAGCCAAAATGATGCTGAGGATGAAATCCGGAACCCAAATAGAATTAAGAGAAAAGGAATTGGTTGAAGAGAAAAAAGAAAGAGCAAAAAGCAGAGCTGGACACCTAAGAAGAATGCAAAGCAGGAATCCCCGGAAAAATGCTTGATGGTTGTTGCTGATGCTTCAAATACAATCTTTGAGAATCCTAAGGAGAAAGGTAATCATATATTCAACATGGATTATCATTAAAATTTAGGAAAAAATAGTCACATATGACCAAGATTCTTTGCTTTTTCTTTTTCTCTTTCTTAAGTTTTAAAATAATTTGGTATTTAAATTTATTGGCATATATGTTTTTACTTTAGAAAACTGGAGTACCAGACATTACAACTATGTTGTACACATGTTTTTGCTTTTTCCTTTAATTGTATCCTTAAATGTTTCATAAAATGACATCTTTGTAATTTTCTGAAGAAGGGAGATGCTGTGACAGATGAAAAGGAGAGTAGAAGTTTCCCCATGAACCAGGAATCAAAATAAATAAGTTGCAAATATAGCTAGTAGGATAAACTTAAAATCACTGAGCAATTTAAATTTAGAGGGAAACAATATAATTTTCTAAAATATAAATTAGATTTCTCATATTTTTACAAGTTTATTTGCTTCCCACATTCATCCTTAATAGAATATGCAAGTGGCAAATTTATACAATTTCCTTCCCTTTGAGCATATGTTAAATTCTGCTCAACTATGCCAATACTGCTTGAGCAGGACTGATAGGCAGAGACTGATGAAGGGAAGGAAAGGGGCTTTATAGAAACGTTACAAGAGCTTACAGAGCAATCTGAAGCAAGAAATAAATGAAAATATTTGAATTCATTTTCTCACATACTACTTGTAGGTTACGAAAGTTGCAAAATATTTTGACTTAGTAACACTCTAATGAAGTATGGCTTAGATAGTATGGTGTTAGAATTCAATACAATTATTTTGAGCTCTGCTAATAAATTGACTTCCTGGGATAATTCCTGATCTATTCCATATTGGTAGTCTCATATAAATAGGAGAAAATGTATAGAATCTCATAAATTAGCACATATTTTTACAAAATATTATTTAGCTAATCTTCCTTGATTTAAAAATATATACCCGTATCCATTACAGATTTGGTTAAAATGTTTTAAAAAACGCTTATAGTGTTCTGAAGAAAGTAACAAAGATGATTTAATTTCTAATTCCCATGATTAGAAAATAAGAGAGGAAATGTTAAATGAAATAATGATTATACACACACTCAAACAGCTCATAATTTACTTGACAATAAAGTGCAGTTAAAAGCAAAGGTAACCAGTTATTTTATAGATTTATTTAGGTTATTGAAGACAAATAAATATAGCAGCATAGTAGGGAATTTAGGTAAGATATGCAGAAGAATTTTCAAACAATTTGAGTGGTTAAACATGGGAAAGCTGGCAAGGTAAACAGAGTTTCCTCCCACAGAGATCTTTACATTCAATTTAGAATAGCAGAAAATTTAATTTTTACATGACATTTTCGTGTGGACATGATTGAAGCAAAGAGGGCTAACACAGTATCTTTGAGACCTTTCTGTTTCGGCAACAGAACTTTTTTTTCATATGAAACTAAAACTTTCACTGATTCCTCCAAGTATAAAAGAAAGAAAATCTTCTAGACTTAAACAAACAAACAAAAAAAAAGGGGAGCATTTTAAGTTATCAGTGGCACAATTTCATTATGAAAGCCCGGAAGCATCTACTAGGAGGTTTAATGACTCTTAGAACTTAGGCTAAACTCATGACTAATGGTTTGATATTGGTATTTTAAATTCCCATTCGTTCACATGATTTTAAATTCTTGACTAAGATTAGGTTCAAATTTTACAGTGTTAATTGAGAAAAAAAGAAACTGTATTGAAAAGAAAAGAAAATACAGTATTATTCATACACTAGAGAGATGTCTGGCTTTCGACCTACAACCGGCATCAGTGGGAACACCGCCAGGAGCACAGAGAAGAAAGCCCAACTCAGTGAGGTCACCTAAAATCAAGAAGAAAGTTATCTTTAGACAAACAGGGTATAGAAAACTATCATCAGTGTTTCACAGGCTATATGACTGTGAAGGTAAAAGGAAAATGCAAAGTCTTACAGCTATTTATTATTTTATTTTTCAAATACTTTCTAGCAGAATCAACAGCTAACTACTTTAAAAAGTAATAGTTACTATTTGTGAAGGACCTGTTGCATAGCAGGTATAGTATTAGGTGTAATATGAGCATTTTCTCATTTAATTCTCACAATAACCTCCAGAGGCAGATATTATTCTTCCCAATGCATGAGATGATGAAACAGAGATCAGAGAAGTTAAAATATAAGTAGTACCAGGTCCATGACAAGTAAATAAAATAACCAAGCTTTAAACCTGCATAAAGTGCTTCACTCAATTTATGTTAGACTATGTATTGATGAAGACATCTATAAAAAAGGTGGCCTACAATAATCATCAAACAATTGAACCCAGAAGGAAAATAAGTAAAACTACTTTTGTAATTAGATTAAGATCTCTCACAAATTAAAAGATCAATAATCCCATTCTTTGAAGTTTTTTTATAAATTCTCAGAGTAGAAAGAAGATATCTTCCTGCTACTTCTATCAAAAAGTATGAAAGTGGAAATAGGAGAGCATTCTTTGTAGAAGCACATTGTAATTCCCTACCTAGCTGAAGGAAGAAAATCAAGACTCAAAATATTTTAATAATTTAATAATTATATATCTATAATAAATACACACTTCTCCAGAAAAAAAAAAAAAAAAACAAAACTGAGTGTTTCAGAGTAAGGAGGGAGATGTCTCCTGTGACTCAAGTTCAGAGTGCAGACCCCTAAGCCACTGGGCTGTGCTGCTCTGGGCGACTCCTCTCCTGGTCCATTATCAAGATATTTGAAGCTAAACAAATCCAGGAAGTGCTTCAGAGATGCACATATCAGTACAACTTATATAGCACCTCAATTACCACATAACTGGCCCATTTTGATGTGAAAGTCTAAGTGAATTACTGAAACCTTACAGGTAATGTCAGTCATCCTATCAATATGACTAGGCTCTTTTATGTAAGAACACATTCTACCCTTTTCTTTAAAAATAAACAGTTCCTTAAGTTACATACGTGTCAAAACAAAGTAGTTACTAATCTGTCCTATGTCAAAATGAGTACTCATACCTTTGCTCGAGTCCACAGCCGAGTGAGAAATGGCCAAACCGCAAAGGCAGTAAGTCCAGCGGTAAGCATATAGCGGTAGAAAAAACTGAGAACCTAGTAATGCATTCCAAAGAAGGAATGAAAAATAAGGTCATTTAGTACTAGTTACAAATATATAAAAGAAATTTGCAAATGTTGTAATCTGATAAGTTACTTACTAATACTTCAATGCCCAAGGTAAAAACTAACAGGTACCCAACAAAATGGCTCAGAGGATAGGTCAACAGTGATGTGACAAGGTCTTGAACAACTTGAAATCTGTTTCAAATAAAAAGATTGATTGAATTTTAAAGTCAGGTCATACATAGTATAAAAATACAAACTTTGCACAAAGCTAAAAAAACTAGAGAATTTTCCATTTATAGATGATTCAAAAACTAAAATAAACTCTAACGGATTTGTTTCAACGGCTTTACTTACCTAATTTTTTTTTAAATCTAGAAGTATTTTAGGGAAAATGTAATTTCTGAATTAATTTGAAAATGATCGGCCAGGCGCAATGGCTCATGCCTGTAATCCCAACACTTTGGGAGACTAAAGAGGGCGGATCACCTGAGGTCAGGAGTTTGAGACCAGCCTGGCCAACATGGTAAAACCCCATCTCTACTAAAAATACAAAATTAGCCAGGCTTGATGGCACATGCCTGTAATCCCAGCTACTTGGGAGGCTGAGACAGGAGAATCGCTTGAACCTGGGAGGTGGAGGTTGCAGTGAGCTGAGATGGTACCATTGCACTCCACCCTGGGCAACAAGAGCGAAACTCTGTCTCAAAAAAAAAAAAAAAAAAAAAGAAAAGAAAAAAGAAAATTATCACAAAAGTTTGCTTGGTTTTTATAAGCATTAATGACAATAAATGAATCTTGTTTGATCTTAGTTTACATATGGGTTCATACAATTACAGATGCAACATCAGATATAAAACACAATGAATCCAAATGCATATAAACTGAAAAATTTTAAAAAATTCACCCAAGTAATCCTATATTTAAATCTTAATGAAATAAAGGTAGGGTTTCCTAATCCAGTTAGGGAAAAATCTTAATTACATTTTTTAACTGAGCTAAATAACCTTTTCCAAACCCAATTTAAGATGTCACTAATTGTACACTAATTAAAATTAGGTGAATTCATCACCATCAAAAATATATTACATACTTGAGTACTTTTTATATTTTATCACTAGGAAAAAAAAGTTAACATTTGTAGTGCATTATTAAGTAAGTAATTTTAGAAGGTCAGTATCATTTGGTTTATGACCTTTCTCTGATTGAAAGCAATGGCTACAGAATTTCATCAAAACAATGAAGGTGCCATGTAGGAAAGAAAAGCTAACACCAGTCAAAAGGGAATTTTTCTGTTCTTCTTAACAATGAATAAGCACAGAGAATCAAGAGATAATTTTGTAAAATCATTTAGAAGATCATGAATTTTTATGTCTTTTTCCTACATAATCTATCAAAAAGATAAAGATAGGACACAACATACTTTCAAAATCATGTTTTCCCTTAAAATTTAAATCTATGTGTTTTCTTCATATAGGACATTTAATAATTCAGGAGAGGTTCTGTACTAGATACGATTTTCTGCAAGGACAAAACATTTTGTTCTAAAAGTTTAAAAACCAGACTAAATGACATTTTTAAAAATTTGAAGTAAATATGCATATGCAACAATCCTATTCCTTTCAAATGGAGAGGTAGCAGTATGTTATTTGATCAATGCCTTTTTGTCTTATAGTTAACATTTTAAGCATTTTAATATTAATATTAATTTTTGATATTTTTAAGTTATTATTATTATTATTTTTGGAGACAGAGTCTTACTCCGTCACTCGGGCTGGAGTGCAATGGTGCAATCTTGGCTCACTACAACCTCTACCTGCTGGATTCAAGCAATTCTCATGCCTCAGCCTCCTGAGAAGGAATTACAGGTGTAACCACGCCCAGCTAATTTTTGTACTTTTAGTAGAAACATTTTGCCATGTTGGTCAGGCTGGTCTTGAACTCCTGACCTCAAGTGATCTGCCTGCTTCAGCCTCCCAAAGTGCTGGGATTACAGGCGTGAGCCCCCGCATCCAGCCAATTCTGAAATATTTTTAATATGTCATGTTTTAAAAGATGGAAGAAGTAGTCAAAGTTAAAGTTAAGAAAAATTAAAATAAAAGTATGCATAGTGTCAAGATGCACGTGTTAGGCCAACCTGGGGGATACCCTTATTATATAACAGGCTCTCATTCTTTCATTGACTTTAGGGGTCTGGTTTGCTCAGAAAATACGTTTATATCCACGACCAAGTTTAAATTATAGATTACTGGTGTAAAAACAGAAACCAATAAGATCTGCAGTGTGACTCTGGCTGCCAGTGAGCATGAACTAGTACTCCCTTCTAGTGGTTTTATTAAAAGTATTTGAAACTGGCCAAAGAGCCTTACTTCTAATTTTTCTACAATGTTAACAATACATTCTATTTTAAGTACAACCTGTGAGGAAGTACTTATAGGTAAAACCACAGCACATGTGAAAAATATAGACTAATTTCTGTGTGTAAATATTACCATATTAGGTTTAACTACAAAGTTTAATTTATCTATATCTATAAGATCGCTAGGAAAGGAGGAGTCAAAATGTGTGGAAATAAAACATGCAAATATCTTTGTCAAATATGAAGATATATTGGAATCTGAGATGATGACACAAGTTCAAAATGCAAGTTAGTCTAGGCATAGTATGATCAATATTAATCGTTACTTCTATTCCATTTTTTCTATAAAAGATACACAAATAAGTGAACACTGCCACTTCAGAAAAATAAAGATGAAGTCAAAAGGGAAAGGTATAACTAAAATAATGTTTATATCCTATCCAACATTTATCAGTTATAAATGAGGTGAGAAGGATTGGAGATTTGAAAGTACAGTATTATAAATATCTTTGATGACTTACAGTATAGAAATCTAATGCATTTTAAATACAGATTTAACTGTCAATGAAGTGAAAAAATAAGGCAGCAAGATGCATTACTTACTCTCTTAGAACCGCATACCATATTGGCACTGGCAACAAACCATATACGTAATATGTCCAGGGACAGGCTTGAATCAGCAGAAAAAATGCTACTAAAATGCCAATAGCTACAAAACTGCATGGCAGGAGATGGCTTGGTTTCTGAAAAATCAAACAAAACACTGAAATACTTCCAAACTAATGGTAATTGATAGGTTTTAAAAGAGATTTTATAAAGTGAAGAAAACCTATGACTTTCTTTCAATGGTTATACAACTAGATAATTAATCAAAGAGCTGCATTAAGACAAGGAAAAAATATGTTATTTAAGGAGCATATTAGAAAGGAAAAACCTAGATAACCTGGAATTGTTGCAATTAAGCAATTCTCAACTTAAAAGTGACTATGGCCTTAAAGTTTGTTTGCAAGTAACTTGTTCAGAATTCTGAACATGTTTCCTTTTAGGAATAATTTTATAAATGTTGATTGAGTTCTCTGGATAACCTGCAAAAGCCTATTTAATCCGTAATAAGGTATGGGACTTAATTTTCATTTGGAACAATGTCCTATCTATTCAAGCTCCAACGTGACATGCTACCTAAGCTTCTCTCTCTATTGCCCACCGAATAGAAACTTCATTCACTCATATGCACTATTCCCAATCATCTGCCAAAAAAGAGAATTCATCAACGTAATTCACTAGTGATAGTCTCCATGGTGTAAGGGTCAGGGACTTTAAGTACAGGAGATTATCCTAGATCATCTGGGTGGGCCTGATTCAATCCGTTGAAAGGCTTTAAGAGCAAAACTACAGGTTCCTTAAAGGAGAAATTTTACCTGCTGAGTGCAGCTTCAGCTCCTGCTGGCGAGTTCAGTCTGCCTTTCCTGACAGCCTGACCTGTGAACTTAGGACTTGCCTAACTAGGCCCCACAATCACATAAGCCAATTTCTTATACTACATCTCTTAATATATATTGCCTCCTGGTTCTATTTCTCTGGTTTTTATTAATTGACGTACCAACTCGTCACTAAATAAAGTATAAATGCTATAGTCCAGCATTTGAAGCCTTTGATTACTTCAGCCTAATCTATATTGTATTATTTCTTATCAGTCCCTCGAACAAACCTCCCACATTCTATGCAAAGTGAACTATTTATTTTGAAGGAAGCATGGCGTAGAAAGAGAAAGAATTCAAGTATCAGAAAATGTGGGTTCTGTCATTTAAAACCCATGTGTCCTTGTGGAAAACATGTAATCTTTCTGAGCCTAAATCCTTCCATCTGTATTATGAGAATCATAACCACCAATATTTAGGGTAGTGTTAAGCCTAACTAAATAACTTATGTAAAGCACCCAGGGCAGTCCCGGAACAGTGGGGCTCAATATGTATTACTATTATCCCAGCATAATAGTACATCTTCCCAAATCTGCCTCTGTTCATATCATTCAATTTGCTTTAATTCTCAACCTCTCCCTAGATTCTGACTGTTAAACTCCCACCAAGACTTACTTTTTCCTGTTATTGACACCCTAAAGTCAGCTCTCATATTTAAAATGTGATAGTCTTTTTATTATCCCAAACACTTAACATATCATCAAGTTTTCTTTTGTAGTCGAGTATAGATACAGTGACCTATGCCTGGTAAGGTGGTCATATGTGTACATCTCTTACCTACTTTATTAAATTCTAAACTCCTTGATGGCAGATTCTGAATCTTATATTTCTTTTATAGCCTATACAGCAAGCTTGTCCAGTCTGCAGCCCACAGGCCATGTGTAGCCCAGGACAGCTTTGAATGTGGTGCCAACACAAATTCATAAGCTTTCTTAGAACATTACGAGGTATTTTGTAAATTTTTTTAAGCTCATCAGCTATTACTAGTGTATTTTATGTGTGGCCCAGGACAATTCTTTTTCCAATGTGGCTTAGGGTAGTTAAAAGATTGGACACCCTTGCCAGCATCTAGCATTGTACCATACACTCAATTAAATATTGGCTGTATTATCAGATTAATGAATAAAGAACTATCAGCTATGAAATCTTGTTAACATATCAATATAAAAACATATTTTTTCTCAATAAACTGAATATCAGGATAAACATGAAAAGGCAATCTCTGGCCCAAGACTGCTCTGGATTGAAGTCTCAGTCCCTCACATGCTAGCTGAGTCGCCTTTAATAAGTAACTTAATCCTCCTCAGCTTCAGCTTCCTTTTTTGTAAACATAAATTATATCTGCTACTAGCACTGTTATGAGTTCTAAGAATGCCTAGATATAATTCCCATTCCAGCCAATTTCACATACACTCAAATAATTAAAATTACTTGGGGGAAATTATTTAAGATACATTAAAGCATTATACAAAATTATAATAAACACTAATGGCCTTACTTCCATTACAGAATAATAAAATATAAAATTGGAAAAGTTACCACTGGAAATATCTGCAGACTATTATTAAAAATACACCACCAGGATATATTACTTTTTAGAGAACTTGAACATGGTAATAATCATTAAAGAGAATGAAGCAAAGGAAATGAAAGAGGCATATTCTCCCTGGTAAATGATAGTTAGAAATATATTTTAAAAGAGTAAAGTGTTTTAATGTAGCAAAACCATGTATGTACTGTTATATTGTCTCAGCAATATGAAGTATCATTAAAGAGATTTTTTTAATTTTTATTTTTTCACTGAAAGCATAAAGTAGGAACAAATTCTTAAAATTAGAATACATGGAAAGGTCTAGAAATCTGCATTTTGAGAAACTTCAGAAAGTTAAAAGAAGGTAAGAGTAATTTAAAAATGTATACATCATTTAAGAAGAAACACTATGAGCAAATAATTTTATTGCTTTTTAGCTCCTAAACTTTTAATATCAGATAAAATTAAATACATTGTTTTGAAGTAGTTTTCTGACCACTTGTACTAGAAAGATATGGAATACTTATAAAATGCTAGTTATAAAATAAAACAGAAGATCAACACCATTAATAACATAGGAGCACTTAAATTACTTACACCTCTATCTTTATAGCTTTCTTAAGTTATAGGATCATTATTATCAATATATCTTTTTCTCAACTGAAGAAACAGAGATAACTGAGGAAAAATCCAATACAATAAAAGCAAATGAAAGATAACCAAGAGTTATCTTAGAACAAGGACTTGCACATCCTATAAACTCATTACACTGGATTCAGTACTAGTGATTTTATATCATCATCTGAATCTTCACATTTTCTAAACGTACCTTAACTTCTTTACTAACACCTTTTATAAGGTTGGAATGAGACTTGATGATCAACAAAGAAGCATAAGATATCCATCCCACAAAACCAATAACAACATTGATGCCCAAAAAGAATCTGTCATATGTGTGATAATAGGACAATCCTTTCAATGCTAGATGAATTAGCTCCTTGCAAAGGGAGACCTATGGAGAAAAAACATATATAACTTGCTAACAGAAAGAATAAGAAAACCTACATTTTAAAGAAAGGAAACTTTTAAATTCCTAACAGCCAAACCGTTGTATTAAAATTAGTGAATAACTGTAGATGATGGATTAAGAACAGATTTTAATTGTTCGAGGATCTTCTTTTAAAGTATGAGAAAAATTCAGAATAAAATGACCTTTTTAATCTTAGTAAGAAAGGGCATTTTAAATGTAAACTATTTGTGTTGTATATGTGTGTTTGTGGAAATGATCTTCAGATAACTCATAAAAGAAATGAAGGCTCTCTAATGTAGGTCCCAAACAATGATGATGGCCATATTTATATGTTTTACTTTCTCATATGAGATTACTCAAATCAGTTATAAAACATCATTAAGTAGCTTAATATTTTACAGGAGAAGAATAGCTTATCATTTTAAAACCATCAAAAAAAAGCATTAGAAATGCATGAATTGGCAATCATTTAGGCAATTTTAGAAATGAAAACAGAATTCTTTTCTACTTTAAAATTAAATGACCATTTAACAAAGAAAAATTAATGAAAAACACAGTGAGATAGGAGTTTGGAAGAGTCCAAGTTTCAGCATGAATCATTAGACTTTTAATAATGTATAGATAATTCTGACTGGCAAACATATAGTGTTTTAAAATATTACACATAAGTAGGGTGACAAAAACTTGGCATCTATTTTCTCATTTTAAAAAATGGTAATAGTTCATTTCTAATGCTAACCTAAAAAAATGTGGGCTGGGTGTGGTGGCTCACGTCTGTAATCCCAGCACTTTGGGAAGCCAAGGCAGATGGATCACCTGATGTCAGAAGTTTGAGACCAGCCTGGCCAACATGACAAAACCCCATCTCTACTAAATATACAAAAACTAGTTGGGCGTCATAGCACATGCCTGTAATCCCAGCTACTCAGGAGGCTGAGGTAGGAGGATTGCTTGAACCTGGGAGGCGGAGCTTGCAGTGAGCCGAGACTGCGCCACTGCACTCCAGCCTGGGCGACAGTAACTCCATCTCAAAAAAAAATTTTTTTACCCATAATATTAGCTGAAAAAAGAGAGAGATGTCCATTGCTAAATAGCTACTCAGGAAATGCAATCCTTCCTTGAGAGCTCAAGAAAGCTCCCTGGCCTGTCTACTTTGCTCTCCATTGCCATATTTTTCTCCTCCCCATCCCCAAAATGATAATCAGCTATTTATGTCTATAAGGCCAGTATACTTACCACTTCGTCAAACTTTCTGTGTTTTATATAAGATCTTGCTTTTCTTAAAATATTGAACTGTTTGGAATCAGAAAGCAGTCTATAAAAAAAAAAAAAAAAAAGAATAGGTTTAAAGGGTTTCCTCATTCCAAGTATATATTTCTTTTCTTTCCCTTAATTAAAAAAGACAGTGAAAATTACAAAACAACAAACAAAACAAAACAAAAATCAAAGAAAAAAACCCGAATTGTATTGCTGTAGGTTCTCTGAAGTCTTCTAGAAATAGCTTATAGTTAAATTTGGTTTTCTTGACTCAAAGTTTCAAATGCCAAACTACATTTATGAAAGTCAAATAATCCATCATTCTGAAGAAATGTAATACTCTGGCTAACAAAGAAATTCTGATTAAATGGAAGTAATTAACAGAACACCAAATGTATGGCATGAGCTCTGCCACTCAGTTGTCCTGTGCTCACGACAGACTTCACATGATTGAGGACAGATCCATCAATGTACTTTTTATCCCTGAGCCAAACACGGCCTGAGAATTCTCATTATCAAAGAGCTCCAGGCAGAGCCTAACCATCATTGGAAGTTAACGAATAATTTGAACCCATTTGCTATTTTTATACTATATCGTATACCTTCTTCGTTCCTCTTTCATTTCTCTTTCCACCATTTCCCTGTCCTGTTTTACCACAGTAGAAACGTTAAATACACAAGAGAAATACTCCTAAAAAATACTGCATAACCCGAAACTATATAAAACAAAAGTCATTAAGTTTATGGAATGTAGAAATTGAGGAAATATAACCAGAATTTAATTGCCTTAATGAAATAAATCAATACATTTAAATTCAAATTTGAATATATACTGCTTAACTAAAACCTACATGTCTAAAATGAATGCCTTTACATTTTAAAAATGCATGCAAAGTTATTTAAGGCTATATTAGGTTGGATCACATGACATTGATGTTTCATAGGCCAAAAACTACTAAATTAAATATTGGCAATTGCACACGGGTCAACATAATATAATCACTTATCTTCTTTCTACTTGGCTCAAGCAGTCTCTGAAGAGATAGGACTGAGACTTGTACAAAGTAAATCTTTTAAGCAGTAATTATTAATTTGGGAGGGGGAAGGTCAGAGACTTCTTTCAGAATCGGAAACTCTTGTCTAGAAAATGTACATAATCCAAAATGTAAAATATAATTTCAGAAAATTCATAAACCCAGAAGCTTATCTATGAACTCCCTCAGAGTTCCATGGGATACTCTGATTAAGCATCTGTGCTTTGGCTTGGGACAGTGGCTCACGCTTGTAGTCCCAGCACTTTGGGGGACCGAGGTAGGAGGATCACTAGAGGTCAGGCGTTCGAGACCAGCTTGGGCAACAAAGCAAGACCTCATTTCTACAAAAAATAAAAAAAGGATCTGTGCCTACTCTAAGAGCTCCCAGATATTCCAAGTCATGGGAACCCAACCACCCTGGGTTCTCATGTTGCAGACTGCAGAAAAATTCCCCACCACTGGACTCACTGGGATTTGGAGGGAAAAGGTGCCAGGAGGCAAAAACACATGAAAAAAAAAAAACCAAGTTACTTTAAAATGTTGCTTTGATCCAGTTCTCTGTCCCTTCAGACACCATACATCTTGAAGTGTTTTCCCAGAAGCCTTAGTATAGCAATTACTGTGCCAAAGTGCACAGGCATTTTTTGGAAGGCTATATCTAAGTTGAGTTTCCCAAATTTCCATAAAAGCTTTCCAGTTGACCTCCTTCTTCTTGCTCTGATCCACTCAGCTTCCTAAAATACTGATTGCATCCTCTCACTTACAATTGATATGGGCATCTCACGGTCTACTTCATCAATTCTAATCTTCCTGGGCATCTCATGGTCTACTTCATCAATTCTAATCTTCCTGGACTACTGATGACCCTCTGCTGCTACTTCACTTAATTTCCCATTATCGCAAATGTGTACCCTCAGCTGCATAATGGTGAAACTCTTCAAGCTTCACCTATCTGGAATCGTAAAGATCTTCCCCTCTTTGCTTTCCAAAATCAAATATTCACCATCCTTTATGGTCCACTCCAAATCTCACTTCACATCATTAGCACTTCAGTTAGTGATCTAATGATCAGTTTATTTCTCTTCAATTAAATTTTAACCTCCATGTGGGCCAAGGTAATGTCTTATATTCCATTAATATCTACAATAATACTTAGCAAAGTGCTAAAGCACATAAAATGAATCAATAAATCTTGATTACAATGCTATCAAAATATTGCAGACCTAAAAAAGGAAGAAAAATAAGAGACTAACATACATTGCCATTTGTAATGTACCTAAAATTTTAAATAAAAAGAAAGAAAAAAAGCTTGTTTGAAGTTAAATTATTTAAGCTAATTTAACAGACATTCTGTTAAGTGAAGTCTTATGAAGAATGAGAGAAAAAAATCTTAAGGAGAAATATTTACATTACATATTATGCTATGTTGTATTATATTGGAAGTATTAAGGTAAAGAAACAGGAGTCAGGGTAATTTGTAATTTTTCCTAAATGCACTATTTATAAACCTTGGGACATGCCAAAGGTAGCATATCAAAGATTTGCAATATATCTGGAATTAACCAAAATGTTCGACACAAGCCTCACTGTATCACCATGACATCAAAGACTCTCATACACTTGTCCCCAAATATAAGTTTTGTGTTTAGTTTTCCATCAAATTGAGAGGGTATATAAAGTAAATTTTCTTGGTATCACATACTTTAAACATAAAGAGGTTTTGTAAGAAATATAAAGTCTAGAATATAGAGTACAATACGTTCAGATTTACGTAAGCAAAACCAAATAACAAAATTAATGGGGGTTGGCAGGGGAGTAATTAAAAGAATGCCATATATGAACTAAAATGAACAAGGGAGATCTACACATATAAACATGGATAAATCCTGAAAACCAAACTAAATAGAAAAAAGAATTGTTAAATAAAATAGATTTTTAAAATAGGGATTCAAGCGTATTACACCATTTTATTCCCCCACCCCCCCCAAAAAAAGAATCTAAATATGGTAAAATGTTAACATTTTCTTAAACCTGAGTTGTGGGTAGAAAAATTTTTATTATATCCTCTATTCTTTTCAGCATGTTTGAAATATTTTATAAATAAAACTTGAAATATAACAAGGATATACATATATCATGTATACTTATGTATTCTTATGTACTTTATCAATTATATTCTATCAATTCTTATCTACTTCATCAAAGCTATTTTTTTTACCTCCCACATATGAGTGAGAACATGTAAAATTTGTCTTCTGTGTCGCTCTTATTTCACTTAACATAATGATCTCCAGTTCCACCCATGTTACTGCAATGACAGGATTTCATTCTTTTTTAGGAATGAATAATATTGCATCATGTATATATATCATATTTTCTTTATCCCTTAATCCACTGATGGGCACTTGGATCGATTCCATATTTTAGCTACTGTAAAGTAGTACTGCAATAAACATGGAAGCGCAGATTATCTTTTTAATATATTGATTTCCTTTCTTTTGGATATTATTGGATATTATTCAGACTGTATTCTTGTACATATGTATACGTGATATATATATAAATACATAATAAACTGCAATTTTGCCTCCAAAGGAAAAGACTATAAGACTGGAACACAGGAGGAAAAGTGACTTTTTTTTTTTTTTGTCTGTTTGTTTTCTTTTTTTTTTTTTTAATTAATTTATTATTATTATACTTTAAGTTGTAGGGTACATGTGCATAACGTGCAGGTTTGTTACATATGTATACTTGTGCCATGTTGGTGTGCTGCACCTCACTCGCACCCATCAACTCGTCATTTACATCAGGTATAACTCCCAATGCAATCCCTCCCCCTCCCCCTCCCCATGATAGGCCCCGGTGTGTGATGTTCCCCTTCCCAAGTGCAATGATCTCATTGTTCAGTTCCACCTATGAGTGAGACATGCGGTGTTTGGTTTTCTGTTCTTGTGATAGTTTGCTAAGAATGATGGTTTCCAGCTGCATCCATGTCCCTACAAAGGACACAAACTCATCCTTTTTGATGGCTGCATAGTATTCCATGGTGTATATGTGCCACATTTTCTTAATCCAATCTGTCACTGATGGACATTTGGGTTGATTCCAAGTCTTTGCTATTGTGAATAGTGCTACAATAAACATACGTGTGCATGTGTCTTTATAGCAGCATAATTTATAATCCTTTGGGTATATCCCAGTAATGGGATGGCTGGGTCATATGGTACATCTAGTTCTAGATCCTTGAGGAATCGCCATACTGTTTTCCATAATGGTTGAACTAGTTTACAATCCCACCAACAGTGTAAAAGTGTTCCTATTTCTCCACATCCTCTCCAGCACCTGTTGTTTCCTGACTTTTTAATGATCGCCATTCTAACTGGTGTGAGATGGTATCTCATTGTGGTTTTGATTTGCATTTCTCTGATGGCCAGTGATGATGAGCATTTTTTCATGTGTCTGTTGGCTGTATGAATGTCTTCTTTTGAGAAATGTCTGTTCATATCCTTTGCCCACTTTTTGATGGGGTTGTTTGTTTTTTCTTGTAAATTTGTTGAGTTCTTTGTAGGTTCTGGATATTAGCCCTTTGTCAGATGAGTAGATTGCAAAAATTTTCTCCCATTCTGTAGGTTGCCTGTTCACTCTGATGGTAGTTTCTTTTGCTGTGCAGAAGCTCTTTAGTTTAATGAGATCCCATTTGTCAATTTTGGCTTTTCTGCCGTTGCTTTTGGTGTTTTAGACAGAAGTCTTTGCCCATGCCTATGTCCTGAATGGTACTACCCAGGTTTTCCTCTAGGATTTTTATGGTATTAGGTCTAACATTTAAGTCTCTAATCCATCTTGAATTAATTTTGTATAAGGAGTAAGGAAAGGATCCAGTTTCAGCTTTCTACTTATGGCTAGCCAATTTTCCCAGCACCATTTATTAAATAGGGAATCCTTTCCCCATTTCTTGTTTCTCTCAGGTTTGTCAAAGATCAGATGGCTGTAGATGTGTGGTATTATTTCTGAGGGCTCTGTTCTG